AATGTAAGAAGAAAAGAGTACGTCTGGGTTTATTTGTCGTTATTATCAAGGGCCAAGGTCACTGCTACAGGATTGGAAGATGTAGAGGGAATGTTAGTAAAAGAAGTCACCAGGTCTAGGTTTGGGTTAAGGATAGATTAGAACTGATAAGGGTAGAACTGACACATGAAGGGCCAGCAAAATGTCTAAGGGGCATTCATCAATAAATCTAGCTTTTGACAGAATAGGAAGTGAGAAAAGTGGTCCACAGAAGAGTGACTATTTTGTAAGCACATACACAGAAGTCTGGAAGAATATAGTGTGAGGCACTGCAGAATGATGTTTCTGTCAATACGGACGACTTAGAATCCCATGATGGTCCCATAGGTTACAATGACATAAGATTACAACAGAGCTGAGAGGCTCTATTGCTAAGTGACATCCTGGCTGTTGCAATCTGTTTTCACCTCACTGCTGAAGAATCCTCAATCCAAGATCACAGCCGCTGCCACCGATTTAAGATGATAAGTGAGTTCCGAGTCTACAGTGAGTGAATGAATTTCTATTTGGCCAGTAGAGATGTTGCTGGGTGAAGTGTTTGCGTTATGGTTTTTTGCCTCCTAATTTCTAAAAGTAAAAGGTTTCCTTTGGTAGAAATTCAAATACATTCTATTTTATCCACATCTCTTATACCAATTGTTCAAATGTCTGGGTCACACAAAAATAGTTATTTGGCAATACTTATTTGAGTTTACATAAACATCCGGTGTATTTTAACAAAGCTGTATTTTTAAGGTGACTTTCACAAAACTTACCCACCATTTTGATCAATTCTAGTTAAACTGCCATGCATTTTGTATGCTGGCCATACTCAGATTTAAAGACACGGTTGTGTGCCTCTAATCCCAACCCAAGTAATTGCTACATACCTCATTTTATACGACTTTTATTAGGAAATGCTTACCGAGCGTTTCACTTTCTCTTGGCCTTTAAATTGTATTCTTTTATAGCATGACATAAATTTTATTAGGTCTCTACCATTTGTTTTTAAGATATTATTCGCCATTGTTAAATAAAATGTACTTTCCCTTAAGATTTAATGAAAAGTTTTGAGGAAAGGCAGGGTGTAAGTAATAGTACATGCTTACGATAAGGCCTTCCTGTCAAAAAAATATATCTATAAAAAAGAAAGTGAAAATCACTTGCAATCCTGGTCACCCAGTGGTGCAGCACCCCTCCCCCCAAACACCATATGCAGTGTGGTGTCACATAAACTGTACAGAAACCTCGTGCTCTATTTCTTTTCAATAATGTCACCTATGTCATTTTCTTACAATGACTTTCAGAAGTTTTCTGGTGCCTCTCCCCTTGTCCTCAGGGGAGCACACATTCTAAGATCCCCACGGATGCCTGAAACCATGGGTATCACCAGACGTGATGCCCTCTGTGTTTTGCTCCGTGTGTCCTGCAGCATTGCCACATAGCACCAGCACCGATCTATCCTTCCACATTTTATGCCCTGGTGCTTCCATTGCATCACTAGTCACGTGCTTCAGGGACATTATTAAGTAAAATAAAGCGCAAACAGTACACTACTTTGTGACAACGAATCTGGTAGCCAGGACAGCTACCTTGTGATTAACGGGTGGGTGGCAAATACAGTGTTACACAGGCTGGAGGAACAAGGAGTTATGTCCCCCAGCAAGGTGGAGTGGGATGGCAGATTTCATCACACACTCAGAACAGTGGAACTTTAAACTTAAGAATTGTTGGGCTCTGGGGTTTTCCAGTTAACATCTTCAGACTGTGGTTGACCATGGGTAACTGAATACACAGAAAACACAATCACTGTTGGTGCTCCAGCATCCTGTGCATGCTGTAATTTAAACACTATCTATCCTATTTGGAGCATTTATTTCAACTCATTGACGTCTTGAACACTGCAGTGAATATGCTCTTATCTGTGATAGGCAGAATGATGGCCTCTGCTCCAGAGTCACCTAGAATCTGTGACTTTGTGTAACAAAAGGTGGGATTGAATTAAGAGCCTTGAGATAGGGATATGGGAGTGGGTGGACCCACTTGAATCACAGGTGTCCTAAAAACAGGATAACCTTGCCTGGCTATGGTCAGAGAAAAGGATGGCAGAAGTGGGACCAGACAAATGCTACAAGCCAAGGAGTTCAGCTCTTACACACTTACCAACTGGTGAGGGCTGAGTCTCCTCTAGAGCCTCCAGAAGGAACACAGCTCTGTCAACACCTTCATTTTAGCTGTGTTAGAATTCTTATCTACAAAACTGTAAGATAATGAATTTGTGTTGTCTTAAGCCACTAAGTTTGTGGAAATTTTTTAAATGACAGCAATAGAAAACTAATACCCACTTAAAAAAAGTGGTCATTCTTGGAATCAAAAATTTTATTTCTGACAAAACTGTCTAAAAGAAATAGTACATTGACCCACTATGAATAACTCTCACTACATACAGCCTCAAAGTATGTGTCAAAAAAGACACACACAAATAGCCTTCCCTCACACCTCCCCCAAAGCCACACAAATCCAGAACAGGAGAACATTATTGTCATCAGAATTCATAAATTCTTTCTTTAAGACAAATTAAAAAACCAAGTGGGTAAGAAAAAACTTAACTTTGATGAAGGCTTGACAAGACTTACTACAATTCTGCTAGAAGTAATACCTAGACCCCATCAATATACAGTATTTCAGATGTCTACATGAAGTACCTAATTCTGTTTATATTCAGAAAATACTACAGCAAGAAGTGATGAACTCTTGACAGACCGTGCATTTAGGATAATGGCTTGATTAAAAACACTAGAGAAAAACACAGAAATAACTGAAAAAAGATTATTCCTTTTTCTTGTTTAAGATTGTTTTGTTATGCTTTCTTGGCTTTTTTTTTTTAATGAAGACTAAAAAACAGAGTTTAGTTTGGAGTTGTAAGTACCTAGATTCTGCACTGAGGCACAAGAAGCTTGGTCTGTTTAGCTTTCCTAGGATCTTATGAATCACTAGAGGGCAACATGTACCATGCCTTTAAGAGTCACTGATCACAGACTAGTTTGAAGGAGGGAAGTGAAAGGAGAGACCAAACTGGTAAAAGTCAGAAATATTTTTCATAGTTGTTTTTTAAATCTAAGCAATAACGAGATGAGTCCCTGAAATACAACCGAGAACCAAGCTTCATTGGTGGGGCACAGGACAGGAAAAGAAGTAATAGTAAATTTTTAAAAATTAATTTTTAAAAGTTAAATTAAAAAATATTTTTAGGCCAGATGCAGGAGCTCAGCCCTATCATTTCAGCTACTCAGAAACTGAAGATGGGAAAATAATGTTTCAAGGCCATCCCAGGCAAAAATTTAGCATGATCCCATTTCAACAAAAACTTCGGTATGGTGGCATTGTGTCCATCATCTCAGCTATGCAGGAGGCATCAGTAGAATTGTGGTTCAGGCTGGCTTGGGCAAAAACACAAGATCCTTCCTGAAAAATAAAGCAAAAGGGGCTGGCGGCAGGGCTCAAGTGGTAGAGAGCTTGCCTAATAAGACCAAGGCCCTGAGTTCAAAACCCCAGTACTGCCACAATATACCTAACCAATGTCTGTTTCAATTACAAAATGCTATCAATCCATTTTGAAAGTTGGTTACAATAATGAAAAAGTTAAAGAAAATTAATGCCCGTATCTTACATGCATCTTCATTATTTTCTGTAGGAGTCACTTTTTGGAAGGGTTAAGAACCCCAATATACAAGGCAGATTAATCTAGAATCCTATCAGCAAGGTGTACAAGTGCCTGCTCCCCTTGCCCCCACCAGCCGAGACTGAGTATTTACCCCTTTTTACAGAAGAAACTGAGGCATGGAGAGGTTAAGCTTTTGGCAAAGCTGGAGTTAGACTGTAGTTCAAAGTCTGGCCCCAAAGGGGCTGCTTCACTGATCCTCCACTAAAATGGAAAGGTCTAGAAGGTAGGCCCTGCTTTTCTCCTCTGCCTCCTTACTTACACAAGTGATCCAGTGCAGAAATAGTTGTTAGATTTATACCTATAGATTGGTATGCCAAAGTTCACTTCACACATAAAGAACTGTGTAATATTTTTTTGTGTCTTTGACTGTGGTACTGCATTTCTCAACCTTAGAATAATTTGGAGCATTTTCTAACAGTTAAGACTCTCTTCTTGGGATGGTTTGGATATGGCTTAATTGAGTCTCCCCAAAGATCCTTGCCTTGAAGGCTTCATCCTCAGAGTGGCACTATTGAAAGATGGTAGAACCTTCAGAGGTGGGGCCTAGGGAGAGGTCCTCAGGTCACTGGGGGCATGACCTCAGAAGGTAACTCTCCATGAGCCTTTTGAGTTTTTCTCAGAGGGTTGTTCTAAAAGGAACAAGCCTGGCTCCACCCAAATTTCTCTGCTTCCTGGCAGGAAATGTTTTTTTTCTTGTTCCTGTTTGTGCTACGGCCCTATCCACCACTGCTGTCATGATGTAACCAAGGGGAGGTCCTCCTCATGAAGCCTGTGCTGTGCCTTCGGAGTTTGAACCTCTAAATGAGCTCTTTTCATCAGTGGCCTGTGTTGGGTGTCTTGTTATGTGATGAAAAGCTAACGCACTTCTTTAATTGCCAGATAACTGTACTCCACCATACTTAATCCTTTACATACTGCTGTTGTCAGATACCACAGCAGGTACTGGAAACCAGACAAATGAGAAAGGCTGCAGCTGGGACACATTTCCCTGGGCTTCAGATTTATAGGTGCAATGTTGGCCTAACTCCAGTGGGATCCTACTAGGTAACTCACTCGTACACCTGTTCGCCTAGCCCAGGCCCCCACTCAACCATGCCAAAAAGGAATTCCAAACAAGCAAATGTATCGTTCCCCTTGAAAATCTCTCCTACTTGAATTTCCAATAAAGACAAAACAATATAAAAATAAGAAATTTTTATTTAAAGTTAAAAATGTTTTCAAAGTTTACACATGGCAAATAGATAATTCCACCACCATGGACTTCTAAAGTCAATGACTAGCAGATACAGCTGGTGTGGCAAACATGTACCCACTCCCCAACACCCCCTAAGCACTGGTATTGAGGGTAAAGTACACCACTGGCAGGCAGCTCGTTAGGGACAATCTTCAGCAGGAGACTGACAGAAGAGCACTCAGTCCTCTCCGCTTCCACCCAGCAGCTAAGACACACCAGGACCGGGAAGCAGCTCTGTGTCCCCTGAGCAGCATCTATTCAGAATGTGACTCCTATTAAGCTGGCCTTTCCTCACCAATGGTCCCCTACCCTGGCTGCACATGACAGAGTTCCGTGGAGAACTCTTCAAACTCCTGATCACCTGAGCCACAGATCCACTAAACCTGAATCTCTAGGAATGGCACCCAAGCGGCTTCATTTTAACATTCCCTGGTGGTTCTGATGCTCCGGGAAGAGAAACCATAGCCATTTCCTTCCACTCTTACCTTCTCAGAAGTCTCTCTGGTTCTGATTTAGAACACTAGGCATGTCTAATACACTTCTGCAATTATGGAAATTGTGAACATTTGGATGCTGAGTCTCTACGACTAATTTATGAAGGGTTAAAAAAATAGAGCACCAAGATTTCATTAAAAAATTTATTTTCATATAAAAGTGCCAAAATATCCACCAATGTTGTAATCTACCTCAACAACCACTTTACACTAGCAATCAAAACACAAGCCTCTTTATTCACACTGTCGGAAGCCGATTCTCTTCACACATTCCCACAGTAGCTGGAGTCTCTGGACAGCGGGAAGTTTGCATTGCGATTTGCAGTGGTAGTCCATATGTCCAGGTTCATGTAGGCACGAAATGGGTTAAAGCCTGGGTAGTACTCCTTGCACATGACGGCCTGGTTTTCCATGTGGGTCGAATGTTCCGTGGTGGGACTGAGGGGGCAGCAGTTCTCATACATATCACTTTGTGGGGCCCAGATGGAGCCAAAAAGTCCAGACATTGGAGACAAGCTTCGGGTGCTGGTGAGGTAGGGCTGAAGTGTAAATGGGGAAGGAAAAAAAAAAAGAGAGAAAAAGTTAAAGAAAAACACCAGACACTTTAGAAAGGTAACAATGAGGCTCAATATATACCAGTGGATACTACCATGGTGTCTATTCAAGTTACCAGGGAGTATTTAAACTATTCTGAGCATTCTGGATTGATTTAACTCCATTTTTTTCAAAAGAAGGATTATAAAACCCTCATTTAACTGGACAAACTTATTTGTAAATCTAATGAAGGACTTGCATCCAAATGCTCTTCAAATTAAAAAAAAAAAATAGTGTGGAGTGGATGTGCTGGACTGCCACTGTTCTCTGACTGACAATGCTGGGTCCCTCATTTCATAGTCTGTCAGTTGACAGTGTCAGTGAGGGCACAGAAGACAGTTGTAATCACAAGGCTTGTTGTTCAGTTTAGCTATAATCAATATCAGCTTGGTGTAGCTTGGAACATTGTTTTTATTCAGGGTGTCTAAAATGTCACTAGCTGAAGCCCTCATCGTCTGACTACACATTAGGTTCCTCTAGAGGGTGTCCACTCCACTAAAACAAACACACTAGCCTTGGCTGATCTGAACGCAATGCAATGTTTAATCATGAGGTCAGGATTAAACAACTTGAAGCTGCCTCAGCCCACAGCCCAGGAAGAGCAACACCTACCGGAGAGTTGATGAAACTGGCATGTCCCCAGGTAGTGGGCATGTTGGGTGGGGTATTCCAGGTAGAATGAGAGTTGTGGTCAATAAAGTCAGTCCGAACTTCTGCAGGACAGGGGAAGCCATTGGTGTAATTCATGTTTTCTGCAAGGAGTAGGAGACAGCAGCACAGGTCATTTTCGTGGAGAGTTAACTTTCACTCTCAGGAGGAACACTCTCAGGCCTTATTACTAGCCTGGCGAGTGAAGAACAGACATGTCTATGGAACACACCTGGGAGCCCTCAGTGAGGGGTCTTCTCCAGGGCTTGTGTATTTCATCACTTGATGGGCATCTTTCTGACACGCAAGTACATTTAAAACATCACTACAGATTGCAGTAGTGTCAAGACTCTTATCCATCCATCTATTTGTTTATTTATTTATTGGTGCTGGAGATGAACCCAGGGTCTCACACACACTATGCAAGTGCTCTCGCACCAAGCTATCCCTACCCTGTTTTTAAAAATTGCTTGTCATGCTAATCGCAACCACCTGCACATGAATCACAGGCCTGACAAAGCAATTGGAAATCAAATGCTTCTAAATATTAGCAAGATAATAAACACAGAGCCTCACACTCCTACAAGGAAGTTACAAAAGCACCCCCGTGTGGTGAGCAGACAGCAATGCATGTATCACAATTAGGAACGCCACCTAATCCTTACCTCTTGCCAGCAAACACAGCGCCAGTATTAGAAATCATGACCATACTGTTATCTACAATAAAAGTATTTTTCCAGATGATCAGGGAAATCCCAAATCTTTTATTTATTTATCATCAAGATACCTGGTGGCCAAGCACAAGGAAACTGTCCACAATGTCCCCTCCAGGGGGCAAGAGTCAGGACATGACAAAGAACAAGTAGATAACTGTTTTATTTCATATGGGACTAGTCGGCCTAAAAAAAACTAGCAAACAACTAACGTTCCAGGACTACCTGGAATAGGGTTCTGGGTAGAAGCTCCCAGACACCCATACTGAGGATTTTTAGGGCCACATAAAGTTGTATATGGCAGGCATGCACAACTGCATCTGTGTGCAGTCACTGACAGACTGCTGCAAGATCATTCTTGGTCTGCTTGCTGTTAAAGGGCACATTCTTCCCAGGTTCGTGTTATGCTCACACATTTTCTGCTCCGAGCTTGTAAGAGAACAAAAGAATGGCACTGGGATTGTTCAACACTCTTACCTTCTGGAAAGGCATTGTAATCATTCATTTCCAATGGGCAGTACACATTGGGAAACCGGCCTTCGCAAGTTGCATTCCAGTCAATGAAACTGCTACAAAAAACAAGAGGTCTAGTTTCAGAAACAGGAGGCTGAGAGGTCAAGTAAAGACAGAAGAATACAACCTTATTGCTCAATATCCTAATCATTGTAAACCCCCAATTTAGTAAAATAAAATACGTATTTTCTCAAGTCACAGAATCAAAGGCTTGTCACCAATGACATCCATCTGCAAGGTGGATGGCTTGGACCAGGTGTGCACTTCCTTTGTAACCATTTGTTAAGTCTAGTGAGACACAGAATCCAAGGGCGTGACTTTATTAACACCTTCAAGGAGAAACTGGAATGCCACTAAGTGTCTCAGAACACATCTGAAGGACTTCACCATGTTGGTTCTGCTAATAAAATGTCCACCTTTCACTCAGGGCACAGCCAGCATCCAGCTTAGGGACGTCACCACTAGAAAAACTATGACTCATGGTCTCTGATCACCATTGCCAATTGGATTCTCATTACAGAAGTAAGACAGTAAATACTATTGTAATAAGCTGAACCAAAAAACTTCCAGGGGATCCTGTGATTTAACAAAGATATCAACTTTTTTTTTTTTCAGGTTCCCTAACCTGAATGACATGTTAGTATCAAATGGTGAATTTAAGACGCTTTCTATGTTTTCTAAATTTGAAAATTGGAAAAAGTGCAATCACTGCTGCTATGGAACAGGAATTATGAGTGACTATTTCAAATACGTCACATATACGAAGAGATAAAGTAAAAAGATAATGACAAGGGTCACTAGCTTTACTGGTTTTAGTCATGTTTCCCTTTGTGCCTGGTTCACTTCTTTCTACAACACCACAATGCAATTCCAGAAGACAGAAGAAAATACACTTAATGCGTGTCGAGGAAGCCGCCTGGTCCCAGTATTTGCAGGGATGGCCAGAGTGAGTTCAGATTCCAGCTGTGAGCAGTCAGGCTGGCCAAGGCTCGATGAGGGCAGCAAGACCCTACCTGTTATGGACTGCGGTGGGCTCCTGCGCCACACCAGGTGTGCTGCTCTCCACAGGGCAGTTGAAACTGCTGGTCAGACACACTGGTTGAGGGGACCACAGGTCTCCACTTGAGTACAGACCTGAGGAAGAGAGCAAGGCCTCTCAGTCCACTTCTTTCCTACCCAGCCCCCAGCTAATCCTCTCCCAATGCCCAGCTCAACTTCTCTCCCCTCCAGAAAATGTCCCAATGTCACCCATACATGCTGTCTACTGTGACCTTCTCTGACTCCTTTTGGTGTATCATTTCAGGACATGAGGCTGAACTATGCATACTGCTTTGATCTTTGCTTCAGATGGTATGTGATTTTCTCCTGACCTGGGTGATGAGCTCACTTAGCAGGTATTTGAGGGCCTGCTTCATGCAAGACCCTGTTTTAGATCCCAGGGAGGCAGCAGGGAGCAAGGTACTTTCAAGTGAGCAGAACAAACGACAAAAGTGAGACAAATGGTAAACAAGCACACAAAGGCAGATGGTCCATGTGCAATGACAATGAACACAATTTTAATTAGGGTGGCTGGACCACGCTGAGGGAACTTGCCATCAAAGACATGACTGAGGACAGGGAATAAGTCACGCGGGCCGGCAAGTACACACCAGGGAGTGGGAAGACCTGGCAAAGGTCCTGAAGCAGGTGTGCCAGAAAGCAAGTGCCTTCCCAATGTCTACATACACAGCTCGGCGCCACCTGCTGTGCCTTCTCAAGCTCCCTGGCTAGGCAGATGGCATGGACCATCTGGTATCTGCCTTGACATGCCTCACCTTTATCTCCTTCAACACCCATGGGCCCGGCAGGAAGGCTGGGACAGGAGGGCTCTACGTACCGAGGGAGGTTACTCACATCTCTGTGGGGAAAGTGAACATGGGAATGCTGACTTTTCTGCACAAGAAAATAAGGTAATCACACAGCCAAGTCTAAATGAATTTTTATGTGAGTTCCCCTTCAAAAGCATACAGATATTAGACATTAAGGTGCACAGCTAGGAAAGAGGTGAGGAATATTAAATACAGAAGATCCAGTAAAGACTTGCTTGAACAAACAACAACAAAAATTTAACCAAGGTAAGTAAGGTAACCTGCAGTTTCCAAATTGCCTACCACCAGGTAGTAGCAACTCTTAGACGCTAGGTTAACTTTCTACCTCTCACACCAACTCCATAAATAGCTTCCTCATCTGCAATTTGAGTTTCCTTCTTCACATACGCCACTGTTTGTTGCAATGACTATTATGAGTTTAGGCCTGTGATGGCTAAGTCTGTACTGACGTGTACAGACTTTTTTCTTGCCATTATTCCCTAAACAATATAGTATGACAACTATTTACATGCATTAGGCATTAAGGTAATCTACAGATGATTTAAAGTATACAGAAGATGGGCATAGGTTCTATATGAGTATTATACCATTTTATACAAGGGACCTGAACATGTGCAGAGTTTGGTGTCTGGGGAGGATGGGGGTCCTGGATCCCATCCCCTGTGGACACCAAGGAATGACTGTACCTGTTTATTTTGTCCAATGCTCCAGAAAGAATCAGAAGAAGGGGAAATGTGTGAGTATCTCCTAGGTTCTGACAGGCTTTCTGAATAATCAATGCTCACTTTTATTTCAAGTATTAGTAGAGCAGAAATACTGTCTATCATTCTAGTAAGTCCTGCCTCCTCTTTCTGATTTCAGAAATGAGACTTTCCAATGTAGCAACAGCACTAAGAAGACTGTGATACCAGAGACACCCACCTGAATCGCATTTACTTGAAAGGACTGTTCTACCCGAATTCTTAAAATAGTCCTATTTTACTCTTCTGCACCTTAAAAGCTTTTCACATTTTAACCTTCAGAACCAAGGGCCAAAAAGCACAGACTGAAAGAAAGAGCAGTACATACAGCACTGTGGAAGCTGGGAACACTTACATGGGATTACAGATGTGGTGAGACAGGTTCAAGGAGATGGGAGCTTCAGAAGGAAAATCTCCTGCAGAAAAAATAATGCATTGTCACAACTTTGAAGAGTAATTCAACTGTATCTATCTGTACTAAAATGCACAGCTTGTTAGTATTATTAACCCCGATGAATGATTTTTTACTTCAAACTGATAGTAACAATTCATTTAATTTTTAAATGCCTTTTATAAATTATCCTTTCTCTGAAAAGTTAATAAAACTTAATGTTTAAATATAAGAATTTTAGATTAACATATTATATTAGGTGGAAAAGCTGGACTGTCAGTATATAATTTTTAATAGCTTTTTTCCTAATAAAAGAATTTAGCTATGTAATTATAGGGCTCACTCACTTAGTTTATAAAAGTAATATACATCCATTGGAGGAAATCTACAAAAAGAAATAAAAGTTTAAAGAAGTATAAATTATCTACAATTATACTACCAGTATAATTTAGGTATATTTCCTTATAATCTCTTTTATGTGTACATATATGTATAAAACTGGAATACTCCACATATACTTTATATTTTTGGTCTTTTACACCATTAATTATATTGTAGACATTGCCCTGCTATTACATAACCTTCAAACACAACTTAAGGGCTGCATCCTATGCAGACCAATACCATTAACAACTTTCTCATTCTTCTACTCTTGCCTGAGCAAAAGCTGCATTTGTGTTTGTTCTTAACGTTAAGTTCTGATTCTACAACGTCTTATGTGAGCATCACCAGGCCACCCTCAGTCCTCAGCGAGAGATGGAGCTGTGCCTACTGTGGGCAGTTAAAAGCAAACCTCTGAACAAGAAAACAGTTTCCATCATCAAGTAAAGCCAAATGCCTGTCCTTTTCCTAATCTGTGCTTCCCTGGGTAATGGATACTGTCTCCAAGGAGTGGGGACTGGTTTGTATCTTGGGGGTTGAGAAAAAAAATCAATCTTTTTATGTGTGAAGCACAGTGTTCAGTATAAACACATATACAGTCTGTATCAGTTGTATTAAAACCTTATGGAGATGGCATTAGATAACACTGTCTAAAAAGGTCAATGGGGAGAGAGGAGGGAACACAGCAAACAACGTTGAGGAACATGGGCTGAAGTCACAGACGGACCTTCTCTAGAATTTTATGGCTATTGCACTGGTCTCAGACAAGATCTTTTATAGACATCCCTGTGGGGGAAGAAAGAGAAAAGGGAGCATGCAGCCACCAGGCTGCTGACAAAACTTCTCGGAGGTGTCACATATTGGTGCCCATTTGTCACATGGAGCGGCCACACAGAGCAGTAACCCCCTACCCCCTTTGAGGGAAGAAGTCACTGGTTCAAGCCTGAGCTATTACCCAGGACACTGGGTGATGCTGAACAAGCTAAGAACCTCTCTGAGCCTGAGTCCTCACATCTAGTACAAGAGTACAGAGGCAAGAGTGCCCGACACACCAATTACTAAATCTTATATATCTTCACAAACGTGAAAAGTTTCCTATGCTGAAAATGAGAGTTACAAGGAATGAACTATATCTTTATATAGACACAGAGCTACAAGAAATAATGCTGAGTGCAAAAAGCAAGGCAGAGAATGCGATCTTGAATTAGGATCTTATTTACATAAGATAAAAATGAGTAATTCTACATTCTGCTGATGGATATTGAATGTAAAACAAAAAATGATGAAGAGTACACCCCAAATTCATGACAGCAGACAGTGATTCTCTTGGGATGGGGAAGTGAGAAGATGAAAGTAGTTTTTTCTTAGGAAAAAAATGAATTTGAAAAAATTAAGCTATTAATTCTGGGTGACAGAAGTAGATACCTCTTTGATCTCTTCTCAATCATTAAATTTCTCAAAAATAAAGGATAGCCAGCGTTCGAAACAGCATTATTCACAGTGGCTGAAAAGCAGAATCAACCGAAGTGCCACCAATGAATGAAATGGATAACCAAAATGTGGTATGTGCATACAATGGAATATTATTCTACCTTACAGGGAAGGAACTTCTGACACATACTACAGCACAGATGAGCCTTGAGGACGTTATGATGAGTGAAATCATCTAGACGTAAAAAGACAACCATACTGTATGGTCTGCTTCCATGAGAAACCCAGAGCAGAAGAAAGGCACAAGAGGGACATAGAGTAGGGGAAGTCACCAGGGGCTGCAGGAAGGAGGAAGGCAAGCTATTGTTTAATATGGACAGTTTCAGTTCTGGATGACAGCATAACTGCGCTGCATGCCTCAGCATCGTTAAAATGGTAGGTTTTGTGTAATGTATATTTTACTATGATAAAAAAGAATGCAGAAATGTATAGCTCTTTGAAGTGTTTCAGAGGCAGACACTAAATAGTAGTAACAACAATGATGATGATTAAGAGAGAGAGAGGAGAATCCAGGAAAGGAACATAGTGTAAAGCAAAGGAAAACCTCCTGCTGCAGTCCATCTGATCTCTGTCTTCTGCAAGGCAGATCTGGACCTTGCACCGGGCACTCAGAAGGCAGATAGGGCCACATGGGACTCACCGGCTGGCAGGAAATGCTGCACATCCACAGCAGGCTTCCTGTCACCATCGGAACTACCACTGCTGCTCCAGCTGCCCCAGCTGCCCCGGCTGGCACGCACGCTACCTGAGGAGCTGCCACAGTCAGAGCTGGAGTCTGAGCAAAACTTGTCCACCGGCTTCTTCTCGGGCTTCTGGTAGAAACCCTCTGGAGGAGGTAAGAGAGAAGCTGGGTTTTACTGAGACAATTTCAATTGGTGCTAACAAATGGAGAGGTGAAGTTAGGAGGGTCAGCATCAGGGTTGGCACCTCTGCTCAGCTAGCAAGAACAGAGAGATTCACTGACAGTAACCACAGGACTGAAAAAGCAGGACATGGCTTAAGTCTGCTTGTTTGGGGTCAAGTCAGTCATTACCAAGCAGAACCTCCATCTGAAAATGGTTCTAGGGGATGGACCACAGCTCAGGGGCACAACAATTGCTCAGCATGCATAAAGGGTTTGATCTCCAGCAATGCTAAAAATAAAATAAAATATGATAAATAAAAAAAATGGTTCCCAAAATAATAAACACTTTTATCAAGAAAACTGAAGCTACACTCCACTGAATGGATGGGAGATCTGTAGATGATTTCTCCTCTTTTATTAAGATATACCCATTAAGAGTTTCAAAATATTACTGATGTATGTGTGCAAAGAAGCTCCAATTAAGACCAAAAGCAACACACACGTGTCAAGGGAATGAAGGCAGAAAGAAGAAAGGAAAAAGAGACCAGACTTCACTCTGGTGGCCCATGTGCATCACCATGGAGCTCATGTGTGAGGAGAGGGGGTGTGGACTGGATTACAGAGCCCTATCACCCCATATCCCACTGTGCTGCCAACTCCAGTGACCCTCTGGCTCTGCTACCCTCTGACCTACTCTGGCCCCAGCACTAGGGCCCCCCACAGCTCCCACTCCTAAGGCACTGCCCCGTAGTTCCTGGCTGGGGCAGTGGCCTGGCTCTGCAGAAACTGAGTGGCTTGGGAGGTCATGTCCACAGAAAGCCATCCTATTGCTTCAACAATATGCATGAGGACTGCAAGGAAACGGTCAGACTAGGGGATGGGGGAGGATGGCAACACTAGAGGCTGCCTAGGCTCAAAACAATCTTCCCTTTCTAGTCTCACCCTGATGGCTTGCCATTCCAGCCTGTCATTAGCTAAGTTTAGTACAAAATTACAAGTGAGGTGGTATTTCTCACACACTGGATATTTCCTCAAAGAAACACAGATTCTAAGGGAAACACCATTCTCAGCTCTCTATGTTGTTACATACCTGCTTCTCCCAGCATAGGTGAGCTGCTTACAATTTTCGAATCTATCTTACAAATTTCTCCGGTATTTTCCTGTACACACCAGCTTCTTATGTCAATGTTGCCACTCAGTTCCGACCTCTCAAAGTCATTGCACACAAGTTTTAGCTCACTCTGTTCAGGTCTGGAAGAGCCATGAAAAAAATCACACTCCTTTTTGTCATATTTCACTCACACTTCTTTCCCATGAGATGTGCTAGAGGCAAAAATATCTATCTGGGACAAGCTGAGGCCACCTCTGAGTCTGGTGGGAGAAAATGATAAGCGAGGAAGCCCCCAAAAAGATCTTAGGAGCTGGGGTTGTGATTAGCTTGCATAAGTCACTAGGTTCGATTCCCAGCACACCTCCAAAAAAGTTGTCATTTTGGAACTAAAATTAGCTAGCTCATTTAATCTATTTTCATATTTTAGAGTGAGATGAGTAGGACTCCCAAGATCACTCAGGGTTAAGTGGCAGTTGGGGACCAGAACCTAGGACACTTGGCTTATTTTCCAATAGATTTTCCTTAAGCATCTTAAGCGTCCAGTAGAAGGTCATGAGTTTTAATTTAAGTACATTCTCATTCCCTTAGCAAACATTTGTTGAGTTACTACTATGTTCTGTGTATTATTGTGAAATCTACAAGAAGAATAAAACTTTTTCCCTAAGGACTCTCTTTCTAGACCATGAACTCTCTGTGGGGGAAGAATTCTAACATGATTTTGCAAACAGCAATACACTCCGGAAGTAACTAAATGATCCTTTTGCACAGTTTAACTTCAATACCTTGCGTTAGGTGTGCAGGATGGCAGGAAAGAAGGCCAAATGCATGAGGTGCAGCCAACAATTTCGCTGGTTTCTGATCAAGGTGAAAAGTATGTGGTAGAAACAAGTGCCCAGAAAACAGACAATCAGACCACTCCCACTTACTTCTCACACACCATGTTTCAAAACATCATGAGCAGCTACAGACTACTTGGAAGTTTTTTAAACAATTCAATTATTTCTTCAGCACTGCAGAAATTCGCTTTTGAAAATGTATCTTAGCACTTTACTGGTGAAATTGCACTCTAGTTTCATATCTTTCTGTATATTAATATTTAGGAAACTATCATACTTTGAAGTGACCTCAGACTCAATCATATGTTTTTGAAAATGTATGTAAGAGAATGCAAGAAGATCTGACATTTCCTTCTTCCTACAAGATACCACACTGCAGCTTTTAAATAATTTAGTCTAAAGAACCCAGGATTAAATACTGTTATTTAAATGGCCCACCAAAAATTAGAATGTGGTGTTTATCAATAAATTAGTAATAGGTATATGTTGATATCTTCTTATATTTGCATTTTGCTAATTGCTCTGTATAAGTTGGGTGCAGAACAGTGCCTGGAAGCCACCATAAAGCTGTCACCTAACGGTTACACAGGAGTGCACGTGGGACTTGCAGGGAGCTGTGGCAATGCTGAACCATGGCCCCGAGCACTCCATGGCACCCTCCACAGGACCTAGGGTCCCTGACACTGCAGCAGGGTAGAACACTGTCCCCACACAAATAGGAAACTGCTAGAGAGACATTTAACAAAAGCACATTTGAATAACTAGCTGTGCTCCCAAGAAAGAGAAATCTCTAGTCATCACAACTCTATAAAGAAGAAAAAGCCTAAATGGGGAGGACAGAGGAGCTCCTGGACAGGAAACAGCTTTTGTGCCACCACAGACAGCTGCGGACAGATATCAGGGAGCTATGACTACATTTTCTACAAAAAACTGAGGCCCTGGATGGGGACACCCTCAGGGGAAAGGGAACCCACAGCCCAGGGAGACAAGGCAGGGGTGCATGGCTGCTGAGGGCTCCCACATGTGCACAGGTGGGGCGCTGTGGAGCTAAGGCAAGAAGTCAGAACCCACAGATCACAGCACCAGGGTGCGTGGTCCTAGAGCCAGAATGCCCTGGTGGGAGAAGCCTCAAGCTGAGAAATTTGCATCAGATTCCATTTAGGCAGGTATTTTGGAACCCCAGCAACACAGGACCCCACACAAGTTGTCCAGCTCCCTCATTTCATTGTCCAGATGAAAGCTGCGAGGTGGAATGTCTCCAGGAAGCAGAGTTTTCAAGGTACACTGCCAAGCTCTGCCCTCCCCACCATGTGACTTGACCCAAGCTGTGGACTACTGTGGATGCCTTGCTTCCTGTGGCTGAAGAGCCCACTTTCTGCAGCCTGAGCAACAGCTATCTCATTATTTGAGTCCAGGTGGCAGGTGGGTGGCAAGGCCTGGAGCTTTCTCCACCACCTGCTCCTGCCCTGCACAGGCAGAATGAGGCCTTGGCATATAAACAAAACTTACATTTCTTCCCTGAAACCTCCTGTGGCTGTGAGAGGTTTTAAAAATTGGACACTTTTAAAATATTTGTAACAAAATAGAAGTAAATTGGAAAAATACACCAATTTTACAAGGGTATTTTGGTCTCAAAATACACTATATTCTTCTGCCATTTAACCACTCTTACAGAAATAAAGGCATGACATGCAACATAAAGGGAAAATGACATGAAAATTTAAAGGCACTGAAGAAGCAACATACCTTGCGGTCTGAGCAACACCCTTTTTCTTGTTTTTTCTACATGTTCGATTTTTATTCCAGTTTAAATTTTGTACATTTCCTTCTCTTTTCTCCTGAAGTTTCTTTTTTCTGTAAGGATCTTCTTGCTGAAGAGGAAAAAGAAAAATGTTCAGTGGTTTAAACTGACTAGACATGAAGAGAAACCTATGATTGCTTTTGTTTTAACTTTTGAAGACTGACTCCACCTTCATTCAGAAGGTCACAGCTCTGGCAAAAACTGAGCTATGTGTTTCTCAATTGTTTTCATTAGCCTCCTTTCTCTACTTCCCTCACGCTCAGCAGAAAGAAAAAAAAAAAAATGTTCCCTATTAAATTCCTAAGGGGCTAAAAGGAGAAACAGCTGCTAGTGATTTATGACCAGCTGGCTGTTGGCTTCAGCAGCAATACAGCCTCCAGCCTCCACCTGTTAATTTGGTATGTGCAATTCACATGAATTACTACTGAAGCAAAAGCAGATTAAAACTCACTGAGAAATAAGGTGTGTATTTGTTTTTATTTGTTTACAGATGAACTTTAGAATAGCCAGATCTACACAGACTGCTCAAACCTAGTATAAGCTTCTTGAATAAATTTTAAAAAGCAAGAATAAGCTTCAGGTTTTAAAAATATGGTTCTGAAAAACTTAATTCAGCAGGTAATGCATACACATTTTATGGATGTTATAGATATGTATAACTATATATGCATTTTTAAAATTTGGGCTTCTTCCTCTTTTAAATGTTAGGCATGTCCTACTAACAAGCCCAAGGGGAGGGGATTCCCCTACCATAATTTTATGTATGTGCATGTGTGTGTGTGTGTGTGTGTGTGTGTGTTTATATGTGTTTTTTGGTTTTTTTTTTTGGGGTGATACTGATGAAGTAACTCAGGGTTTCACAGGCACTCTACCACTTGTGCCACACCCCCAATTTCCTTTGATATTTTTAAGTGGATCAAGTCTTCTAATACTTACTACTTTGCTTTCCCCCACACACTACCCCCTTAAAGCAAAATCTCTCTCATTGGGTACGAGGTGGTGGGAGCTTACTCACTGAGACCCAAGACTTAAAAAACATCTCAAGTATGTTAGGTCCTTTCAGGAGGGAACTGTCTTCTCCAGGGGCTCCACAGGGCAGAAGCCTCACAGGGACAAAGGCACAGTCCTAGTCCACAGTCCTCTTCCTATTACCCTTAGGATTCACACTACATGGAAGCAACGATTGGCTCAGTATACCTTCTTGTTCAGAAGATTGGTCCAGAAATTAGATTAAAAATCCAGAAAGTTGACTAACATATAGGACTTGGGAGAAGAGGAAAGGTTCACAGGACTTGTAGGGAATTCTTCTGCATCTATTTAGGGAATATGCATCCACAATAAACAAGCCCTGGAACACAATGAAACCTTAACTGTACATGCAGGGAGACTATGGAATTTTTTTCTTTCTCCTTTAATTACCCCTTTTCATATGTATGTACTAACTTTTATTCTGAAGGTATTTAAAAAACCTAGTAAGTCAAACACACAAAATCCTATTCTCCAGGACTTTAGGTTAACTGCTTAGTCTGACAATAAACAGACACATGAAAGATTTACAGACACACAATCCAATGTCAAAAATCAGACACACACTGTATTTTTTCACTGACTATTCCTCTATTACTTTGTGCTCTGTGCTCTTTTGTGTATTTGTTCCTTTCACTCCACTGCCCCACCTTGACCACTCAAGGGCCAACATAGGCTTGTCAACACAAATATTTGAGCCTTTCTGTCCCTCTAGGCTCAGGCAAATAAAGGATTGGTCTCTAAGAGGGGTCAGAAAAGGGGGAAGCTGGTCAGTGGTCACCAGCACTTGGCTGCTTTTCTCCAATCAATCTGATTGGAGTTGTCAGCCTATAAAAGCAAGAGGCTAAGAGGTAGTCATGGAGCTCAGAAGCATCATAGAATTCTCTGAGGATGAGAAAGGAAAGTAAGGGAGGCTGAACTCAAAAAGAAACAAAGCCTATGAACCCTACAACAGGAGAGAAGACTAGGGTACGGACAAAAAGCAAAAAGATAAAAGAGAAATGAATGGCGTTTTTCTTGGGGAGATGAGTGCCTTTCAAAGCAGTGGGCAGTGAGGAAGGACTGAGTAGAGTCAGGTTGAGGGAGCACAGGGTGAAACAGAGGGGAAAACACACCAGAGAACCAAAGCAACACACTGCCTAGAAATGCGAGGTAGGATAAGGAAAGGGCTAAGTCTGCTTTCCGGTAGAAGGATCTCACCAGCACAGACCAGGAAAGACCATGAACAGTCACAATTACAATCTGTCACTGAGGCCAATCCTCCTTGCCTGCCTCCTAGCCGTGTCATCTGGGGCAAGTCTCTTAGCCTCTCTGCCTCAGTTTCCTGAGTTCCTCAAATGGTGGTTGTGAAGATTAATTACCTGGCACCTAGAAAAGAGTTTAAGTCTTAGCTATCTGAACTAAATTCCCTGACATCCTTGGTAAGGTACCAGAGTGCAGAAAGCTTTCTCAAGTTTTAATGAAAGCAAATGAAGAAATCACTGAAGAGAAAGCACAGATCAAAGGCACAAAGGCATTTTTAAAGCCACTGTGGATAGGTAGAAGTGATAAAAATAAGAGGAAAAGGGAAAACTAAGGAAAAAAAATTGATACACAGTATTTGATGGACAGAGGTAATGTCTTAACATATAGTGTTCCTACAGAAGATTAAAAGAAAACAAAAAGACCCATCACTAACATTCAATAGAGAAGTGAGCAAAGGGCATAAGATACAAATTTCACAATAGAAATAGAAAAGGAAAATAAAAAACCCAAACAAAAGAAACCCCAAATCACGGTAAGTTCAACTAGAGTATTTCCTAATAAACCAGTTTTTTTTTTCTTTTAGAAAGACAATTTATCTCATCTTTCCATTTGATAGGCAATGGTGGGAAACAGGAGATGGACAGAGTCTCCTCTGCCTCTGGGTGGACATTCACTTAATTTATAGAATTTCTTTCTTTTTTTTGTGGTACTGGGCTTTGAACTCAGGACCTATACCTTGAGCCACTCCACCAGCCCTTTTTGGAGACAGGGTCTCAGGAACTATTTGCATGGGCTGGCTTCAAACCATGATCCTCCTGATCTCTGATACGTGGTGACTGGCTAGAACTTCTTTTCAATGGTAGGATTTGGAGTGGATGATTAATTTTTTTGTTTTGTTTTCAGAAGTTTTAAAAAAATGAAATGAAGAAAAATGCTCATCTTTCCCTAGGTAAGGTACAAATTGAAATGACAACCAAAATGTGATTGTTGAGGGCTGCAGGTAGCCTGGGTTTGATACCCAGCACAAAAACAAAAACCACTCCAGACCTCAAAATACCAAATGTGATTATTCACATATCACATTGACCAAGATTTTGCAAATAGGGGCTTGGGGTGTAGCTCAGCGGTGAAGCCCGTGCTTATTAGCATGCATGAGGCCCAAGGTTCAATTCCCAGAATCCCGTCCCAAAAAGATTTTGTAAACAATAAATGGTGCTGCAAGGAAAAAACCATGTTCTGTAACCACTAACAATACAGTTCCCTGCTTAATTCTCAACCATATGAGAAAATGAGAATTGTGATATTGTGTGTGTATGTGTGTGTGTATACACACACATACACACACACATATATATACATGCACATATACACACAATGATACAAGTTATTTTCTTAAGTACTTTACAATAATAAAACAATAAGGTTCTTAAAATTTGTATGGAAAAAGAGTATACTGAAAAATTTAAGAGTGGTTCATTTGGATGGATCATTTCCTCTTTTTTATGCTTCTGTAATAATCATGAATTACTTTTCTAAGGAAAAAAAAATCAGCTTTAAAAAAAAAAGACCAGAGCTAAAGTTAAAATTTAGCTTATGGCTTCCTGGGCTTCAACTTTCTTGCCAATAAATCTAGAGGAATGTTCTCCGTGTACTATAGACAGATGTATACAATTTAGTTCTAGACAGATGTATACAATTTAGTTCTAAGCTGCAAAGTTAGGCCCTAAGAATGTGCAAGAAAAACAAACACTGAGTACTATACTTGGGAATGTGTTTAGTGAAAATGATTTTCTCCAAATGAACAATGAAACAGAAAGTACATTCATAGGACCGGGAAGATCAGCTCCACAGAACAGAGCTGAGTCACAGAAATAACAAAGAAATGACCAAGGACAACCCCCAGAGCTGCACCAAAGAACACCCACTTTGGTTGACTTAGCTGTGGATGACCTTGGGCACAAGGTCCAACCTGTGTTCTCCAAATCTCTCATGCTGGCACCCTTCCTACTGAGCTGACTGCCACTGCTGGATGCTGAGGTCTGTAACAACAGGCTGTTAGACCCAGACAGGTTGGTCTACAACCACAGGAATTGAGTGCAAGGACTGCCTGGGTTAAGGACAAAAGGCAAGACTCATGCCCTGAAGGATCAAATGCTGAAGATGCACAGTGAACACAGTATCTTTATCACACTAAGAAAATTGTCACAGTGAAGGACCTAGATACAAGGGCTAAGTCTGACCCAGGGAGCCAGGGAAGACTTTGGGACTGGGGGCAGACCCTGAGGTAGGGAACATGTGGCAGGAGTGTTAGCAGAAGCAGTTTTCCCCAGGGCCACCCCAAACCCAGGAGACCTTGGAGTCATTAGTTCCAATGTGTCCTTGCACAATCTTGGCCTGGGCTTCTGGGTCACTGCAAGGCAACAGGCCATCCTCCAAAGCCCATAGCTTTGGAGGCCCATCTTCTAACTTCATTCATCCCTCCTCTGCTATTGCTGCATCCTCACCCACTGTAGCTCCAACATCACCCAACATTCACAACTCAGACCTGGCTTGCCCTATACTCATCCCAAGCTACCTTTAGGCCCCACCTCCCCAGGGAAAATCCCCATTTAAAGCTCTAGCCCCCATTCCCACTGTCTACTACCTATCTCATCTCAAAGCCTAGCCCCTGTTGTCATAGACACTGCTGTAACTGTCTTTTTAATACTTAGTCCTTATCAGGTTCCCCCCCCTCTTCAATACTGGGGTTTGAACTTAGGGCTTCTCCTATTTTATAGATCACCTCCCCAACACCACAGAGGGAGTAAGCTACGGGCTGGGTTCAGACTCAGGAGCTCTGGCTGTAGCCCATCAGTCCATTCTCTCAACCACAATGCAGCACTGCTCTGAGGGGGTGAAGTGAGCTTGTCACACAAACCAGAGCTCCCCAGGTTTGGTCCTTGGGGCTATCATTTGCAAATGGTTATGGGGAAAAAAAAAAGACTCCTTTCCTTTATGTAATAAAGTGCTAAGAATTAATTGCTTTTCACCTAAAAGGTCTCTCATCTACCCTTCCTATCCATTACCCTGCTGCTGTCCAAACACAGGTCTTGATGCCTAAAGCATCAAACACATCAAAGTAATGTGAGCTGGCTAGAAGAGAGTTAGTGTTCACTCTTCCCTCTCCACCTGTCTCCAGGACACTCAGGTGGGTCTTCATTTACTCAAGCATTTGCCAAACCATCACATTGGCTCTTTGTGTGTGTGTGGTACTGGGATTTGAACTCAGGGCCATGTGCTTGCTACACAGGTGACCTTGAGTCACACCCCCAGCTCTTTTTAGCTTTAGTTATTTTTCAGGTAGGGTCTTGCAAATATTCTTTGGTGGTGGGGGTTTGAGGCTTAAGACTGCAATCCTCCTATTTACCACTGCCGTGTAGCTGGGATTATAGGCACAAGTCATCTTATTTGTTCAGATAGATTCTCACTGAATTTTAGCCTGGACTGGCCTTTAACCATGATTCTCCTAATCTCTAGATGAAAGCAGGTTTAAAAAATACCCAATTCACAGCTTTTTAGATTGCAGTCTATGTTATTTAAAAATGATTAGCCATCCTCCCTCTATGCCCCAGCTCAGAAACTCCACAATTTGTTACAAGATCCTCCAACTGGCAACCCGCAGGCCAAACACTTCCAAATGACTTTTGCTTTGGACAAATTTGTGCTTTTAAAATTTTTAATTATGAAATTCCATAGCAGTCAGCCATTCCAGTTCCCTGTAAGAACCACTCTCCTTGTCCTGCTTAGGGTCTCATACAGGGAATAAAGTCCAGATTTTAATCAACATTCCAAGGCCTTTGCATCAGCGGGACTGGACCCTTCCCTCACTACTTCCTAGGTGACTGCTTCTCAGGCAGATGAACCCTCACCCACTCCCAAATGATCTGACAGTTCCTCCACCCTTGCAGGGAGGGGAGACTTAGTAGTACCTGTGCCTACTTTCCTTTCTCTGCCTTTCCAGGTGCTACCTGTACAAGTTTCCACCTCCTCTCGGAGCTTCCAAGGGCTGCTGCAGCCTGAGCTGACTTTCTAGTCTCTGAAATCCCCTTTTCTATCATATTAACTTTGGTGCTTCATTACACAGAAATGTCTTCTTTCTCAATAGACTGCAAACTCCTACTTTGGAATTTCTGTGACATACTTAATTTGAAGCACTTTCATTTTCTTTAAACAAAAAATTTGTATTTGTTTAAGCAAAGCAGAAAAACATAAAGAAAGGGAAGAGAAACCATCCAAAAATCCCACCACTCAGAAATAACTAGGGTTATCTATTACTTTGCAAACCTTATTTCCGGACATTTCCCCATGAACCTACATATATATAAGGATGGCAGGACAAATAGCACTAGGACCATGTCTTAATTTTAAATAAAAATTCAGGGTTCAATTTTCTATGAATTTAATGAAGAAACCAAAGCAGCTGCCAACTTTCTAATTTTTTCTTCTATGTTATACCTTAATTCTTTAAGAATCTCTTTATGATTGAGAAAGAGTATAGTGCTGGGGATTGCAGCTCAGTAACACAACACATTTGCTGCAGCATGCACGAGGCCCTGGGTTCTATCCCTAGTAAAGGAAGGATGGGAGAGGCAGAGGGAAGAAAGAAGGGAGGGAGGGAAGTTCATGCATTGATTTGTGCTCAAGGACATCTGTCTACTTCCTCAGCAATTGAGGTCAGCCTGGCTGGACACAGCATTCTTGTTCATGTTTTATTTTCTCAGTGACAATGCTCCACTGTTGTCTGCCATTGGGTGTTCCTATGGAGAAGTCCGAGGTAAGCCTAAGTTTGTTTCTTCACTTTCCTGACTCTGTACAACTCCTTATACTTCAAGTTCAATTAATTTTAAGCAGGATGTGTCTATGTCCATTACTACATACAAACTGTTCCTGATGTACCCAGGAGGCCCTTTTGATCTACAAATTAAATTCTTCCCCTAGTGTGGAAAGTTTTTTTTTCTATATATCATAAATACTTTCCTGCCCTTTTAGAGAAGATGGTAACAGACATGACAGACAAAAAGCAATTCAGCCGGCGTACACCCTAAAATAATAGATGTTGGTTAAGACCTGGATAGAAGGAACACTGGTCTCATTCTATTCTTCCAACTCTACCTGAGTCAACCCAGTTGCAGAAATTTATTTTAATTTTACTATATTAATTACACAAGATTTTCTGAACAAACATACCAAACTCACCAGTGTGGATTCAAATGTACTGAAAATTAGGAATACTTATTATACAGATATTTGCACTCTCTACCCTCTTTTAAATAGGCAAGAGAAAGGGCATACAGACCTCCAACAAAGGCATGTCCTGTTTCTCACAACACATGTCTTCTTTGGATGCTTTGTGTATCTTCTTCTCCGAAGAAGACTTTGTGTCAAGCTTTTTCAAAGTGTCACAGCTGTCTGCTTCATTCTTGACAGGCATTTGCTGGTTATTTCCTTGAGTAAATGAAAAGAATTCAATTTCTAAACATTTTTTTCATTCGTATTCCCAGATATGGTGTGTCTATTACTTAGTGGGTTACATTGAGGATGATGCAAAGTACTGAAAATGATAGCAATGACAGTCACCCAATAATGTGAATGTACTTAACACCACTGAATTTTATAATTAAAAACTGTTGAGTAGTAAATCTTTATTACATACATTTTATCACAATTTTTTAAAAGCTGGGCGAAGAGAAAGGATAAGGACTTGGGTTCTGGTCATGACTCTGCCACTAATTTGTCACATAATCACAGGGCATCTCTTAAGGAGGCAGAGCCTCAGTTTCCTTACAACAAGAATGACAGGAACACAGAGGTGCCTTCCCTGCTGTCCATCTTGGTGGGGTGCTGGGGATCGAACCTAGAGCCTTGTGCACAGATGCAAATATCTACTCTAAGCTACACGTCTGTCACAGTTTTCCCCACTTTCCTTACAAGTGATTTCATTAGTTAAAAAAAAAGAACTATTTTAGTCCAATAAGAAAGTAACTGGCCTCAGTTTTCTAATTCAAGACAAAGTATTTCAATACCATGTGGTGTGGTGATACATGTCTGTAATCCCAGCTACTCAGGAGACAGAAGCAAAAAGGTCAAGTTCAAAGACAACCCAGGCAAAGTTAATGAGATCCTATCTCAAAACCAAAATACAGCATTGGTGGAGTGGCTCACAAGGTAGAGCACCTGATTAGCAGTGCAAGGCCCTGAGTTCAATTTCAGTACCGCCTCCTCCCAAAAGATAGCCCCAAATTTAATAGCTAATACTAAACTACCTTAAAAAAAAAAGTGGTAAAGTAGAGTCTTAGAAAATGCCTTTTTGGTGGGGGTGGGGAGGAGCTAAGCATAGGCAAAAAATAAAATCAATGTCAATAACAAGTTCTTCAGTGATTCTTTGAGAACTTTGCCATGAAACTATTTAAGAATATGGAAATACTGTGAGTATGCTTCGTTTTAAAAAGGAGTCAACCCATGTCATTCTGTTCAGCATGGAGCTTTTCCATGACCTCATAGAGAAGCCAGATGTGGTGGTGCATGCCTGAAGCCCAACTCTTTGGGGAGGGTTGAGGAAAAAAGATCACAGCAACCTGGGTTACACAGGCTAGACGTTATCTAAAAAAGGAAAAAGAAAAGTAACAAGAAGAAGAAGCCAGAGGAAACAACGACCAACAATAAAGGGAGTGGGAGTAAACCCTGGGAGGTGATGGGAGATGGCCTGGATGGTGGTGATGGTTTCACAGGTGTACATTTACCCCAAACTCAACAAGGTGCACACGTTAAATATACACAGCTTTTTATATGTCAATCACACCTCAAAAAAAAGTAGCCACAACAAAAAGCAAGAACAAATGGAAGAACAAGAACAAGTGAACTCACCAGCATCCTGGCTAAAGGTCCTTGTCTAAACAAATCTAATCACCTGGCATATACTGCATAAACTATTAACTCTTCATTTTGAGTTATTAGTATCTATAAGTAAGCAAGAGCATTTTTTCAATTTCTGCAAATGCAGATATTTCAGAAATTTGGGGATATCAAATTTAGTGAGAATTTTCAGGCACTATTAATTTTAAGACAAAGTACTGTTAATTTTAAAAGTTTATTATCTTTTATAGTATTAGAAGTAAAAAAAAAAAAACAGTGAAATAATTTGCTAACTACTTCTCTTTGGTAGTTTTGAGGCTAACAGTTCCTGTCTTGAGCCATACTTCTAAATTTCTATTATTTGGATCAGTTTAAAATAATAGCTATAAATATTTGAAAAAAGATATATTTCAAAGGATCATTTACATTACATTTAACACCCCACCTTTGTGAAATTATCATAAGGTTCTCAAACATGTAACAAATGTCTGAAAAACTTAGTTGTTGATAGTTGTTTGACAGGTGGATGTCAGAAAATAAGTGTGGGAACACAGCCCTGGAGAATCTGTCCATAGCCTTCACTTCTGTCAGGCATTCTAATTATGATGTACTACAGGCCCCTCGGAAGAAGGCAGGTGGAAAGGCTCAGAGAAGGAGTAAGACATGCTTTCCATTATTCAGAAAATACTCTTGTTTCTCAACAACAAAGCCAGAACCATTAACATATACCCTGGAACATTTTCTTCTCATACAGTAAGTGACACCAGGGAGGAATGTCTCAGAATAGGAAGGGAGGCAGGAGTTCTGATGGGTTAAGAATACTTCTTCTGGCACTTCTAAGAGAAAGGACTCCTCTCCCTCCCCCTTCCCTTAGGCAACCTTATAGCTAGAGTTATTTCTATGGAACACTAGCATACTCTGGGAGAAATGGCTAAACTGTGGCAAACACATTAGCAAGTTTCCACCCATGAGTGGAAGCTCCAGATGCTGATGGACACATGGGTCACATAACAGAGATGGATCTTGGTTCCTCAACCATTAGCTGGGCTAACCTCAGTTCGCAAGACCAAGGCTCTTTCCTTTACATTCTGGAAAGGATCTTAAGATGGAAACAACACACTTTTTGAAACAAAAAATGGTCAGAGTTGAAAGAGGAAACTTAGAAAGCTCTTAAATTGGTAACAATTGGCAAGCCATTTGTTCACTTTTTAAGATCTTTGATGTTTTCCTAGAATAGAGCTGTGACTATAAAACAAAATATAACCATCCCTCAGTATCTACAGAGGAATGGTTCCAGGATCCCTCTTGAATACCAAAACCCAAGGGTGTTCAAGTCTCTTGTATAAGATGACAGTACCTGCAAAAATCCACATATATTATCACATGTACTTTAAATAATTTCTAGGTTATTTTTAACACCTAATACAACATAAATGCTATGTAAACAGCTGTTGTACTGTTTAGGGAAAAATGACAAGAAAAAAAATCTGTACATGTCAGTGTAGGTGCAACTTTTTCTTTTGGGATAGTCTCTCTCTCTGGCTGGTTAAATCTGCACATGCAGAACACACAGATAACAGAGGGCTGGATGTCCATGTCAATGAATGCATGTCCCTGTCAAAGATTCTCTTGCTGATGTATTGATTCTGTAGAAAAATACAGAACTGTACACACATTAACCTTTGAATTTGCTGGTCTGAACAGAGTGGAAAAACCGAGTTTCTTTATCAACATGCACAATCACCACAAAGGCATTTTACATGCTGTTGATCCAACCCAAAAGCAGTTTAAAAACATTCTTGCAGTGAGCAATTTGTTTCCAATTAAAATATCCTCAGCTTACTAGTAACCTGCACAGGAAAGTTCTGGGAAGGCTTACCATCTATAATGAAAAGGCAAACCCAATGTTTATGGGACTAAATTTATTCACACTTGCTAAGGTGCTGTTACACCTGGTAATCTCGGCTCCCCTCCTGGCATTAAACATCAAGAATCAGACATCTCAAAGCACAAATTCAAGTCCTCTGACCCATTCTGGCACTGCATTTCTGATCCAATCCATACCTTTACATTTCAGCTATTTCTAGTACCAGAAGGTCCCTCTAGCCACCTACCCACCATGCCACAGGCTTGGCACTTTGCAGGCAGGTTCATCCAGGGACCACAGCAGCAACACTTCTGGAGGGGTGATTCCCACAAACAGCTATTACTTCAGCCATGTGTAAAGTCAAGTTAGCCCATGCCAAAGAGTGTGTTCAGGACTAAATGACTCACAAAACAAGGAAAAAGCCAACAGGACTCAGTCCATAATTTTACCGTCACAGGTGATTTGTAGTCTGGGCCAAGACAGGGTGAGGGTCAGAATCAGAACAAGAGGCACACAACCAACCTCCATAAAGATCTGCAGAACAGGTAACTGGTTTAAAGATCTGCTTAACTGCATTATCTTGGGGCATGCTCACACCAGGAGGAGGCAACACAGGCAGAGGGTCGACCATGTGGATTTAAGTGTGCTTCAAATGTGTACACTGCTGCCAGGGGAAACGGTTCAAGCTGGTTGACACTAAGAGTGCACGTACAGCTGCACAAACACATTCCACTTAGAGGATTCCACAATGTTCTTTTATGGAACATCTAGAATCAATGTGAGGTTTTTACCAAAGGCATACAGCTCATTAGAATTAGTTTACAACCTGTCTGTACCTCTTCTGTAATATCAAGGAGTGAAAAACATGAAGTAATTCTTATGGTTTAAATATGGATATATTCATGGATCCCCAAAGGTCCATGTCTCAGACATGGGTCATAGTCCCCAGAGTGGTGCTATCAGGAGATAATATGAACCTTTAGAAAAGAGCCTGTGGGAAGTCCTTAGGTCATTGGGAGTGACACCAGTCTGGGTGTCTATGCCTCTCTCCTGTTCTGCTTCCTGGCTCATGATGTGAGCACTGCTTTCTCATGCATGCCTCCTCACCACTGCCATTCATCACTCCCACCAGAAGCTTAAAGCAATGGGGCCACCTGATTTTTAGACTGGAACCTCCAGAACCATGAGCCAAATAAGTCTTTTCTTTATATATTGTCTCAGGTATTTCATTACAGTTACATGAAGCTGATCAACAGTTATTTGCATTTTGATGCTTTAAATTAAAATCAGTTTTTCCAACAGCTACAGGAATGTACATATTAAAATGGTCAAATGGAGAAGAGAGAGGAGGGCAAGAGGGAGGGAGGAGAGGAAGTACAAGCCTTTCTGTCAGAGGCAAAGGGATCAGCTAAAGCATAGCACCAACTTTCTCTGTAAGCAATCTTCCTACTCTAGTTGTACTTGTGTTCCCATTGACTGTGTTTGTCACATGAGAACATCTGTCTTCTTTTAACCGAAGGATGCTAGTAGAGAAGTAAGGCCAGGGACCATGAGATGCTGGCGATTGGTAAAGAGTTGGTGAAGTTCTGTTTAGTCAGAAACAATGCATGAGCTGATTAATTTCTGCAAACAGGCTGAGAAGTTGAGAACAAGTAAGAAAAGGTGTCCATATCCTCCCAACAACAAACATCCCTCCAAACTTACATTCTGATAATTAAATTTCTTAGCCACAATATTCTAAAAACTTAGTGTGTTGTCTTAAAACTAGATTTTGTAAGGTGCATTTCAACATTTACACCTTTGCTAAACCTGTGTGTGAACTAAAGAACTCAGCATTAATAATTATAACTGAAGGTCACAGGTGAGGACAATTTCCACCGAGAACAGAGATAAAGGATACAAAAAGGAGAGAAGTCTCATCAAGGAGGAGGGAAGATTACCATTATGTTTCCTGGAAACTTCTGGCAAGTCTGACTGGTGGTACTGAGGTGAAGTTCTTGGCAAAGGATTTTCAGGTAGCTTCTTAGAGGTCTTTAGTGGACAGAGCTCTTGCTCCTTGAGCTCAGCCATGTTTTCTGAAGTTTTAATGTCAGTTTCCTTAGGAAACATACATGTCTGTATTCCCTCCTTCATACTACATTCTGAAGAAGTATTATTGAAAACAATTGTGTTTTTCAGTGCGTTTTCCTCTTTATCCAATAAATTTTGGGGGAGAGTTAAATTCTTCTGCAGGTTGACATTCATGCCACTTGCATATTTGAGGCTGACCCAGTTCTCACTCACGCCATCAGTGCAAACGTCCTCCTTAGCAGCAGACAGGGAGACACCTGGGGTCAAGGTCTGCTTTTCCTCAGTAGTAGTAGTGCTGGCACTGCTAGCCACGGATGTGCTGGTTTTGTGCTTACTGTAATAGACTGAGCACTTGTGCTTCTTCTGAGAATGACTGTAGGTGGCTGGGCTCCGCTTGGCAGCATTCTGGTTCCTGCTCTGGGGTGTGCCCACTGGAACGCAGCTTTTCCCTCTGCCTTTATCAGAGGGGCTATACGTGTCGAGAAAGTTCTTGCAATTATTTCTGAATTTAAGAAGAAAAACATTTAACATAGTGGCAAGTGGAATCAAACTCTACTTTTCTGATTCTACATCCATGAAAGGGAGATGACAATCAGTATTGTGTGTATTAAGAATCTCTACTTCCCATTCTTCTAAAGCCCTTAAGAGTTTTCTGACAACCAGGACACCAATGAACTAATAAGCCCTTACATGAAGATGGTATCATAAAAAAAGAAAGAGTGCAACTCTTTACACAGTGATGTAAAGAAAACTCTTTACGAATTTGGAACCAAATTCACATTACCTTAAAAAAAAATCAGAAATGAGTAGGATCAAAGATGAGAACATCTTTCTCTCTCTCTCTCTCTCTCTCACACACACACACATTCTTACTTGTGAGAATGGGAGCTGACTGCATCCATTGGACTGCTGTTTTGCTGTGAAGAGGAACTAGCATTTTGCCTCTGTCTTGTTTTCACAAATTCCATAAGAATGTACTGTGCTTGTTGGAAGGCTATTAAAATCACACCCAACAGGGACAAACTGAGGAAGAAAGTAATGACATTCATTACTGCATGGTTGTGAATGGTACTTATAAGACGAGCTGTAAGTTAGGCACATGCCTTTAATACCAGCACTCAGAAGGCAGGGGCAGAAGGATCATTTGAGCACAGAAATTCAAAGTCAGCCTGGGCAACACAGTGAGACTGCTTCTCAATAAACCAAAAGTAAAACAAAGTTAAAAGACTAGTTTTATTATAGAAAAGTGTGAGTGACTGAAAGAAGTGGCTAAAGATGTGGTATTAAAATGTCATAAGATGTTTGACATAATTTCTGACGTTTCTTAGAGATAAAAAACATTTAAGTTTCTAAAAATGTGCACATTTATTAGGCTGACATTACAATTCAATTTTTAAGCATATTTCAGGAAAAAATGACTTTTAAAGGGTGACTCGGGTCTTATAATCTCAAATCGTCATTGCACTGAGCTAATAAAAGTACTTAACATTTGGATCTTCACCACAACTGCCAATGAACATGTGTGGAGCACAGTGCCCATTACACTCCCAGGTTCTACAAGTCAAGTACAGTTAGTTTCCTATGATCTTAACACTCAGCAGTTACTACCTTGTCTTGACACATATGTCAGAGTTCTCAAAGCAATAAAAATCCGGATCAATTCCTACACTTTTGACTATACTCAGGCCATTTGTATTTTCATGCAACTGCCAGCATGGCATCACTACTCAGCAGAAGAAGATGGTGGCTTACCTGACAAAGAAGACTGTGAGCCTCCAAAAGGACTCCTCCCAGCTGGGCCCTGGAACCACATCTGCACACAAGGGCAACAGGTGATGAGGAAGGGTCACATTGAGAGTGAAATGGAATTCTAGGTCTGCTGCAGTTACCAGTGTCAGCTCACGGATGACCCAGGAAGAGGTAAAGTCCGGGGTAAACCTGGGAAAACGTGGTTCATCTTTATGAACTTTTATTGGTTTTTATTTTAGTCACAAAGCAAAGTAACTACAATGGCAACAAACCTTCTTACTTCTACAAAACAACAATTTACATAAAAACAACCTAAGACATCGTACCAATGGAAAAAATCTTGTCCTCACAGTGTTAAATGCACCACAAAACTAAAATGAAGTTAAAACCCAGCACTTACACAATGCTAATGTCACGGGATGTGTTTGGGCTCAGGGAAAATTGGTGACAATCCAGCACTTCGAATCCATAACCCTGGCAATTATACCCATTGATTTTCAGCGATGACACAGTTATAGGAAGAGGACCAATATTTTCAACTTTAAAGTTCTTCGTGATAGATAAAATTTGCTTGCTGTCTTTCAGTTCTAGTTAGGACAAAAAATGTTAATGAGTATCTATGAACAATACTCATTTAAAACAGTTTATTGTACCATTATTTATTCAACCAAAAACAAAGTTCAACCTAAGTTCACAGTATTTTTTCTATCTGGTTTCTAGAATCGTAATTTCTGATTCTGTTGCATCTGATTTCATTGTTACATAACCAGGATGCAAATGAAATACTTAAGCAGTCAAGATTCTTCTTAAGTTAAATGCTCGTACCAAAGTATTTTGGCACCTAGGTAATCAAAATCTGCTCTTTTGTCCTTTACTCGTAAGAGGTTAAGAATAAGAGTTTATTTTTCTAGGAACCAGTTTGGATTTACCACTAGCTATGGTATCCTTGTGACACAGTGACTGTCACCCACAACGAATCACAGACCATGTAAGAGCATTTTATGTACTTTAGCGTAATGCAATTATAAAGAGTTCAAATATTCACAATACTAAGCTAGTAATTAAACCCTTGCAAATAATCAAGAGCAGATTTTTTATTGGTAGTTTGAAAAGACTTACAACAATTTTTAAATATATCTAGAAATTTATAACTCAGTCTATTCCATATAAGGACTAATATTTCAATGCTTCTATAGTTTCTGTAAAGTCTTGACTTCTGGCATTCAAAGTCAACTCTAACTTACTGAATAAATGAAGGAATGAATACAAAAATGAATGCCCCAAAGAATTTTGAATGCAAAACTAACAAATCTTTTCTAAGATTTGTAAAGTATAGTTTGCTAAAATAAAAACGTTCCAATTAGGCATTAAAAATAGTGTTACCAACTATCCAGCAGTTTCACCAACCAAATTTCTCTAAAGAGACATATCTTTACACTAAAATGCTTTCAGTGTTTTCATGAAGTTTTAAAAAAAGGACAGATATTACCCCAAACACTTTATATTTATTCTTTGATTTAGTTCTTGAAACTAATATAAATAATTTAATGACATTTAATTTAAATAAATGTTTGACTTGGGAACTTCTAGTTCCAGATGTCTTGCATTTCTTTTTGGAGGGATGCTGGAGTTCCAGAGTCTCACAGATACTAAGCACAATGCTCTACAAATGAGCTAAATTCCCAGACCCCCATATATATATCAGCACGTCTGATATGATCGCCATTAAATACATGTGGCTACTTAAATTAATTTAAATTTAAGAACTGATACCTCATACAAGCTACATTTTAAGAATTCATTAACTGCATGTGGCTGGTGGCTACTGTATTGAATATGACATTGATATTACGATACATGTATTTTGGCTTTTTAACATGGTTGCTGGCTCGTAACTCCCTCCCCAAGGCACTCCATAGAAGTTAGAATCTCTCTTTCCCAAGGTGGGTCTTAAAACTTCAAATCTTCCCCACCTCTCTGTCTTTGTTAGCCATTAAAAAACCTCTCTGACCTGTTGCTGACAGTAAGTAACGACCCTCTTCATTCCAGAGGGAGCCTGCCCCAAACCTGGGAAAGGGGAAGGGAGAGTGTGTGCTACAGAGAGAGGCCTTGCTTGGTTCCCCAACCCAGTCTATTAGCATTGGGTCACAGCCTTTCTTTCCTATCATGTTTGGCCACCAGTACCCATGCTTCAATAATGGACCTACAACAGAATCATCTGCCTACAACCCCAAAGCATGGGGTCTGAACAAATGAACACAAGGAGGCTCACAGGAAGGGAAATATGAGCTTATCCACGTGCTTGGAGAGCAGCACACCCCCCAGGGATGGAAGTTCCTGGCCATGGGCCCTTCACACTACACCCTGCGTATTTCATCTGACTATTTATCTGTGTCCTTTAAAATGTCCCATACAGTACACTTATAAGTACAGTGCTTCCCTGAGATGTGTGGGCCACTCCAACAGAGTCATCAGATTCAGGGAGGGAATTGTGGGAACCCCCAATTTGTAGCCAATCAGAAGGTGCAGAGTCCTGGACTTGTGATTGGTCTGAAAGGGAGAACTTAGGGGCTGAGCCCTCAAGCTGTGGGATCTGCGCTATCTACATTTGGTAGTGTCAGAATTGAACTGGACTGGAGGACACCACTTGCTTGCTGCTGTGGAGAGATGCCCCATCTTCTGACCTCAGAGGGGATCTGTGCTGTGAGCATACAGCAGGGACATGGAGTCTAAGTTGTTTTCGTTCATGTTACCAGGGACAGATACAGAATATTTCCATTACCACAAAAAGTAGTATTGGTTAGTAAAAGTTTAATCTTCTATTTGTCACTTTGGTGTGATTCTCTGTCAAAAGGTAACTGATAACCAAATTAACTGTGTCATATATTTACCTTTAAGTTAAATATCTAATACTACTGTTCTAATCCAGGGTACCAGCCTATATATGCTCAAATGTTTACCTGATTTAATTCCTTGCATCAGTACAAAGAATTTACTAAAAGTTTTTAAAAGAAAGTTCCTGTAGAATCCTTTCACTCTTGGCTTGAATACCAAACCTCTTGTCAGAGTTCTGTGCATACTCACGTCGACGACAGTCCATCAGTGTGGACTCAGGCACCTTAAATCGGAGCGAACCTCCTGCACCAGGAAGTCTTCCTCCCACTTTCAGTAGCTCTCTTGCTCCAAATCCTTCTACACCAATCATGTCGAGAACAGTCAAGTTATTCCTACAGTGAGAGATAGAAACAAAAAAGCATCACCACAACCACAAGACACAATGCACTTACATTTAAATATTTATAGCCAGCAAAGGTATTTTTCAAGTTAAAAACATAATAATCAATCTAAACAACATGGCACCTCCTGCAGCTCATGGACTAAGAGTGTGTCCACAGGCAATGGGAGGGGCCAAGTCCAAGGCCAAGTCCAGCAGAGGCCAAGCAAGCTGACTAAATCAAGAATGTGTGAGTGATCATGGTCATTCTCCAATGACTGGCCATAAACTCACGGAAATGTAGTTTTTCCTTTTGGGCTCTGGGCTTGGAACTCAAAGCCTGTGCTTGCGAGGTGGTTACTGACCATTAGGCCACATTCCCAGCCCTCTTGTGCTTTATTTTTCAGGCAGGGTCACATTTTTGCTTATGACTGGCCTCAGACCAAGATCCTCTACCTATGATTTCCTTTGAAAATGGGATCACACCATGCCAAGCATATTGATTGAGGTGGGGGTCTCGCTAACCTTATCCTCACCTACCCACCCCAGCTGGTCTTGATCCGCCCTATCTTCATCTCCCAAGCAGCTGGGTTTATAGGTGTGAGCCACTGCACCTGGCCTCACATTTTTTTCTAATAACCAGGCACCATGAGGAAAAAAATGAAGAAATAAATTGGCAAACACAAATTTAGACAAAATGATAGCACAACTGTTTACAGGGTGAATTAGGGGATTTTCATAGTAACTATGACTATAAGAGATACTGCCTTCAGGATGATTCTAGAAATAAAATGTTACTGTTTCTTTTGAATCAAAGATTCAAAGTATCGCCCCACAAACAGAGTATGTACAATCAGAGTCTTATTAAGCAACAGAAAATCAGACTAGTGTTGCCTTTTCATGAACTGAGTCCACGACTTCTACGATGAAACATTTAAGTAGAAATGATGTTTAAATGATGCATACAGAACTGAAGCCTAGCATCACAGTGCAAATAACACAGAAACAGAATGTATTTTACTTTTCTAATTATATGAAAATACTGAAATATCTTTACATCTTTTAAAGGATTACAAATCTTTATTTAACCATTTAAAAGTTTTTAAATGATAAGGCATTAGATGAATGATTGATTTACTGGAAAATACTGTGTCTGCAATACAAAAAACACCAAAGGTAAATTGTCTGCTATTTCTGGGAGAGGAATAGTGAAGTTTACCTCTACACTTTCTATAACTTTAGTTCTTCAATGAAGAATAGATTTAAAATGAAATATGTAAGTCAACAAGGCATTAGGGAGTCTTAAAATGTTTAAGAGAACAAACTCAAGTTTATTTTAGAACATTTTCTTTTTAGTAGTGTTTAGTTGCAGAAGAACAAACTCTTATATATTTAAAGGAAGTCCTAAATAAGATTTTTTTTCAAGTTGATCTAATACTAGGAAAGCTTTTTTAAAAAATAATGAAAATATAATTAAAGTTATTTTGTGTTAGGCTCCTCACCAATGCAGAGAGCTTCAACACAGATCTGTATTTACTGTAAATTTTTGAAAGAAGACTCATAAAGACTACCTAAAGATGAAAAAAAAATTAAGAATGAAATACATTTAGCTACTGAAATCAGTTAGCAATAGCTGGCATTTATAAGGAAGGAAAAGAAAGAAAAAGCAGTGGCTCAAGGAAGCACTGCTTCTGTGGCTACAGACAATGAGTGGTGTACATTTAAATACCAGCCATTACTTTTTTATGCTAAGGATGGAGAAATAAACCTGCATGTGTGCATGATGAACAATGTATATGCACTCTGCCTTTTGTGATGCTGAGTGAAGGTGCCTCTCTTGAAACATGAGCAGACATTCCCCTTGGGGTACAGAGGTGATGGGGGACCAGGGACTCAGTTTTGGGGCTTGTTAGCCCCTCTACTCACCCCTCTTATCCCTCAGCACAGCTTCATCACTGCACACTGAGAAGTGAGTATCAACTATTAGCTACAGAGATTATTCTTGGAAGAGAGCAAGATTTAGACAGGTGAGTCAGTAAGAAAGAAACAGACTCTGTGACAGGGATACACCTACCGGATGAGTATGAGTGAGGTAACTTTTCCATAGTCTGCTGGTGTGAAAACTACACCAACCCTTTTCATTTCCAAAGGCTGCAAATCCAAGTGGAGAGTGCCAAACCTGGATTCCTCAGAATGCACACCCTGCAAATTATTAAATGACACAGTTAAGCAACTCCATTGTCCTGCAGAACAAGTTTCCATCTTCATTTAGCACATCTTAAGAGTATAAACATGATTACACCCATCTGTATCAACCTATTTTATGTGTATGTGTGTTGCTGGGGATTGAATACAGGGCCTTACACACTAGGAAGGAGCTCTACCATGGAACTACACCTGCAGTGCCCCGTGAGCCTGTCTGAACTAGTCTATCCTGGTGAATTCACATCACCAGCTAGGTCCTAAGACATAGCTGAGAAACACAGGCAGGACAACCTGACATGGATGCTGGAAAGGGAATTTGTTTTCTGGTTTGGAATGGAGTTGAGGTTAGAAGCCTTCTATACAAAGATGCTTTGAATATGAAGAACCAATCAGAAAACAGACCTTCTCTGCACAAATGATAACAGCAATCAGATGAGATAGCCCACCTACTGTCAGGCAACCCTAAGATGCTTTAATAGTGAACTTAAGTTTACTATACAATAGAACTCATCTTTTTAATATTCAGTCTCTAGTCAGAAGAAAGCTCTTTATTGCCGTAGTCCCTTACTCTCTCAAAGACTTCTTTCTCTGATAAACCTTGTGTTCTAGCATTTAATATTCAAGCTCTAGTGGTTTTTTTTTTAAATCTTTGTTACTTTTTCTAACTCCTTCTCACTAAAAAACAATTGTTTTTTTAGAGCTATAAGGATGTAATCTACACAGCAATATATCCTGTTTTTAATTTTTAAATTTGTCTTCTCCTTCGAGTACTGCTACCATTTCCCATAGTATTTCAAAGAGTAAATGTTGATACTATTTGACTCCTTTTTCATTATAATTATAAACTCCATGAAGGAAGGAATCCTGACTTATAAACACGGAACAAAAAAAGTTGGTGCCTTTTGGCATTCAATTTATAGTAATAGCAGCACCTATTAAATGGTTCTTACATGCTAGGCACTGGATTTAGGGCATACAAAATCAAGCAATCCATTTTATAAACCTTATTGAATCTTGAAAGAGGCTCAGAGGGGTTAACTTGCCCCACCTCAGGTCACATAGGTGACAAATGTCCAGTTTCATATACTCTTAATCAAAGGAATTTTATTTCTAAAAACAAAACTACAATGAAAGAGTCCTTTCTTTTTATGACAGAGTTTTAATAACAATTTTGAGTGTCTTCAAGGCACTGACACTATTCTTTTTGTTAATGCAATTAACTTAACAATGGTAATAATTTCCATTATCACAAAAGCATAATATTGCACCATCTGTTCAAATCTGAATAGAAGAGTCAGATATAAAAGAGCTGCCATTCTTTTCTAATTTCAAGTGTTTTGAATGCAGAAGAATGAGAGGAATAGCAAGGGCTTTGTAAGTAAACAAGAGCCCACCTGTGTGTGCAGGGCTCTACCTGCCAGTGCTGCTAGTGCACTTCAGAGAAAGAGACATTTACTGCCATGTGTTTACTATTATAGACAAGTCTCTATTCAAAATCTACTTAAAAACTTTCTTTGATTAATGTTGTTTGAACTCTCAGTCACATGTTATCTGTGGTCTTCTCATGTTACTATAATTAAGCTAGACCAAGAGTGTATTTCTGGAGGGGAAAAGGTGGAAAAAAAAGAAAGTTCCCATCACACATTTAAATATATATGTACTTATGTATGTGTATGTGTGCACACACAATACTTTTAAGGTCAGCACTCAGCTATATGTGGAACTACTAAGTGAAAACTAAGAAATTAGGCTGAGTTCCCAGGCAAACAATGTACTCATCATGTGACATTTTTACACCTACTCCTAACTATTTAGGCAAGACCTCATAGTTGCCCTAAGGCTTAAGAATTTTAGAAAAATCCTTTTTACCAGGTAAATATCACAGAAATTAGGTGACTTAATAAAAACACAAAGACAATTTAGTAAGAAAAGGTTTTTTTTTTTTTAATGTATTTGCTTTTATCTTATCTTGCCCTGAAAAGAATTTGAGGAGGCCATGTAATCCTAAGAGAATTATAAATTCTGGGGTCTCGTGTTTTATGGTCTTCTGCATAGTTTTAATCAATTGTTATTTCTTCATTCTCATGAATCTAAACCATTCCACTGGAATGATTTACAGGTTAATATGAGTCCAACTCCTGCTGCACTTGCTAACTGGAAAACTCTGCTGTGCCTCCTCCATGCCTAAGAAGGGAAGTGAGAAGGCCATACAGAACACAAAGTAGGGAGGCCCACTGCTTTTGCAGCTAGCTGTCAACAGTCTTTTTTCTTTTTAAAAATGTCAGTCTACCTGGTAAGGACAAGCTTTGGTGAGCTGGAATTCACCAGTTGTGAAATTAACCACCTGCATATCGGTGCCAAACCTGCAAAGAAAAAAACCCAAATGTTCAAACTATTATCCAGATCTGCCAATGAAGAATTAATAATGCATGTATCCACATAAGTACATTTACTTACACACACACACACACACACACACACACACACACACACACACACACACCCATCATAGGATTACTTTATTTCAGTCCCAGTCCACACCCACACCTACCCGTACCTGGCATACTATATGTGCTCAGTAAGTATTATTTAATAATGACTTGGGTAGCACAAGTATAAAGAAACACATGGTGACAGAGCTATAAATAGGAAGCAAGTTTTTCCTCCAAATGGTTCACTGTTATCTGTTATGGTACCTAAAGGAAGTGACTCTAAACCAAGGGGAATTTATCCCCAGAAACATCTGGCAGTATCTGGAGACACTTTTGGTGGCTGTGACCAGAGAAATCCCTGGCTTCTAGTGGGTAAAATCCAGGGATGATGCTGAACATCCTTCTATACACAAGACAGCCACCCACCCCCAAAGAATCATCTGATCCAAAATGTCAATGATGCTGAAGGTAAGAAATCCTGGGATCAGAGGACATCTTCCTAAACCAAAAGGAAGAAATGTTCCAAGTAAAACTGTGATTATTTGAAAATAAGATGTAACTGACACAAACAAATATACTCTCTTCTTGCTTAACTCAACATTAGAATCTACTAAGACACTAGATTCTTTTTTTTTTTTTTTGGTTGGGGGGGAGAAGGGGAGAAGATGGAGTGAGTAGGGAGGGTCTTACTATGTTGCCCAGGCTGGCTTGGACCTATGCCTCCTGAGTAGATGGGATCACACACACAGACCACATCTGGCTCTAAACTCATTCATTGTACTGCCCAAAGATGACTGTAACTTAAATCCTCAATTTTACGAGTATATGTAAAAAAAATTTGGATAAAGGTTCCCTAACTCAAGAAAAGAGTGTCCTGTTGCAGTGGACATGATGCTCAAGGTGTCACCTAATATAACACAGAGCCAGGACCTTCCATCAGACCACATGTATCAAGGGGCCAGGTGCCCAGGTATATGGCTGATGGGCTCATACTGGGTCCATCCACATTCAGTGCCCAGGAGAAAGACTCACAGGACTTTCAGACTCTGAGTCTCAACGGCATTTCCCACACCACCCATCAGAGTGTCTTCCTACCATTTGTGCAGCAGGCGCACAGCGGCTTCCGGTTTGGGGTACAGGGAGAGAGGTAGGAGTTGCAAGGAGACTGGCAGAGAAGACGGGTTCCTCACTAGGAAGTATTTCACCTAGATATGGGGAGAGAAGGGTTAACACAGCGAAAGACAGGGCATCCTCATGAAGTAGCCCTGCCCAAAATGTATGACTAGGATCTAATCACTAGGAACTATCACACAGCTTAGAAAACAAATGGCCTGCACACTTCAAAAAACATCTATGTGGGAGGGGGTATAGCTCATAGGTAGAGCACATGCTTAGCATGGGTTCAATGTTTAGCATCAAAAAAAATTTTTTTTTAATTTAAAAAAGGCCTATTCCATGAACAGCAAAGAAGAGCTAAAAAAAGACTAAAATGACAATGTCATGAGATACTGGGTTACATCCTGACCCGTGGAAAAATTTGAACACAGAACATAGATTAGACAACAGCAACAGGATACACATTTCATTTTCTGATTTTGATAATTATACTGTTACATAAGAAAATGCCTTTTTCTTAACCAATTCACTCCAAAATAGAGGTAAGTCAGCCCAATGTCTGACACTCTCAAATGATTCATAAGCCTATGCATACATGGAAGGAACCAAGAGAGAATGATTAAAGAGTGTGGCAAACACTAACTAGCAATGAATCTTGGTGAAAAGCAACTGGGAGTTCTTGGTACTATTCTTAAAACTTTTCTCTAAGTAGAAATTATTTCAAAACAGAAAGTTAAATGAAAAACAAAGCAGTCTTAAAATGTCTTCCTTAGGAAACTCCATGAGCACCTGCTAAGGTGAACACTGTAATTCAGACAATGTAAGATGTAGTTCTTGACCACAATTCACAAACTGAAGTCCACGGGTGGTACCTTGTTCCCTTTCCCCTCCTTCCTGTCACGCTGGCGAGACTAGAGGAGCACACATGGGAAAGAAGTCAAAACACTGTGGATGGTAAGTCAACTGGCAGATGGAGTCCAGGTCCCTGACTGCATCACAGAGAAACCTGGCTCTGTGAGTTTCTCATTAGGACACTGGGCCCTGTTTAAGCCAGTGTTAAACGAGACTTTCTCTGCTGTTAGTTGCTGAAGACTTTCTTAACTCATAACTTATTTGTGAAGTTCTTATTTAATTCAGCATTTCTTTGTTCAATGCATTTTCAGGTTGTTAGAGTTTAATTCCTCACCTTACTCTTTTGACACCTTCCTACTCAAAATGCCCTAATGACACAAGTGTGGGAGTTTAAACTGTAGAAATACTCTGGTACTTTGAAAGCCCAAGAGTTGAGGTATCTCTCACAAAGGATGGCAACACATGCTCCACTCACCACACTGTTCCTGAGGGCAGTAGCACTGAAGTTTAGTACAAGACCAGGCTTCACGACTAAACGAGGCAAAAAGGAAACAAAGAGTTCTGACTCTTTGGATTTCTTCCAGTGGGCAAACCGAGTCACTCCTAAAACATTTCTCCTGCATAATTGACAAACAAAGAAATGATTATGGAAAATAATTCTGACATTAAAAACATGGGAAATCATTAAATACCGCTTTCACTAAAAGAAATAAAGGCTGCAGGGGGAAATGGCTTATTCTAGGTCTTGGGAAGAGAAAGTGACAGGAATGGTTCTAGAGCTCTGCATTTGGACCTTGAAGGCAAAATATGTGCTCAGCATAAAGGAGACACAAGTAGACTTCTAGTACCAAAAATTAAAATTGAAAAATAAAGCATTGACCCTACAACACTCTCTTGTCCTGAAAATAAAGAAATGCTCAAAGAATGATGGCAACCCATCAGTGACATATGGGTCACTTTCAAGGGCACCAACAACAAATATGGGACAGTTTATCATCAAAAATAATAACGACAATAACAACAGCATACAACATATTAACTGGAAACTATAGTGATGCTCAAAAAAGACTCTTTTTTAAAAGTAGTTATGTGCCAGCAAATGCAGAATGAACGGATCATTAGAAACATAGCCATTTTGTAGCTATCAGCCTAGTGACTGGTTTAGGTGAAGATTATCCATGAATGCCAAAACCACTGGGTGAAACATTTGTAGGGAATAGCAAATTTATATGTTATAAAATATTATAGCAGATTATTTATTACCAAAAGCTCTCGATATCTGTGGGTGCATATTTCCAGGGAGACAGCAGCTGAGGAAAAACTGAATGGTCAAGGTGCAGAATTCAGTGCTCTAAAATTACTGTAGTGTGTGCTGACACTGCTCCCCCAAAACTAGATCATATCTCATGTGCTTTATCTCTAATACCGGGGATATGTGATTCATTTTGCCCCTAATACAACCCAACTTCCACTTAAGACATGCTGCTTTTCAACAAATCTCAGATTTTCACACGATCACTTAAATTAAGCACATTCTGTGACTTCTTTGGTTTGGGAGGATTATCATAGTTTTTACCTTGCTTTTTTGGGGGTGTACTTTCACTAAATGAAGGGCATATTGTACAGTGATTGAAGCATAACCAACACCAATGTGGAACTGACTTGAGAGCTTCTCTGTACCAGCTGAGCTGCATAATGAACATGTAGAAGTTTAAATGCTTTGCTTGATTTTCTTAACTCTTATTATTTTATTTATTTATTTTGATTTTCTTAAATTTACTATTTTGTTTGGTCCTGCTTGGTCAAAACCACATGTATAAATCTGTGAATAATGTGGGCTTACTATAATTATAAAAGGAAAAAGGGATCTAAAGTAGAGAGATTTATCACACTTCACCCAAACGAATCACCTTAACAAAGCTAATAAATGGGACAAACTTGCATGTATAGACAAAAGATCCATCAGGTAATTTGTATTCTTGCTAAAAATGTTTAACCTAGACCAGGTATGGTAACTCATGCCTATAATCCCAGCTACTTGGGAGACAGAAATCAGGAGGATGGTAATTCAAGGCCAGTCCAGGAAAAAAGTTAGTGAGATCCATCTCAACAAATAAGCCATGTATGGTGACGTGTATCTGTAATCTCAACAACATGGGAGGCCATAGGGAGGGGGAGCATGGTCTGACAATAGTTCTGGCCAAAAACATGAGACTCTACCTGAAAAATAACTTAAAGAAATAAAGGGCTGGGGGCATTATTCATATGGTAAAGCATCTGCATAGCAAGTGTGAGGCCCTGAGTTCAAACCCCAGAATCACCAATTAAAAAAAAACGTTTAACCTAAATGTAAATTTGAAGAACCAATGAGAAAAAAAAATTAAAATAAAATAATAATAATAATAGAGTGGTATGTTTTAAAAGACAACTGGCTCAGACACAAAAAACTGTCAACATGATGAAAAATGCAGACAGGTGGGGCTTTAGTCCAAAGACTATAGAAGAAAACTGAATGTAAGGCATAATCCTTAAATGAACCTGGACTGAAAGAAAGGAGAAAGGAAAAACAGCCACAACAAATATTGCTGGGTTAACTAGGGAAATTTTAACATGGAATGTATATTACACAATATAATTTCATCAGAGTTGAGCTTACTGGGTGTGCAATGGCAATGTAGTTACATGTAACAGACAGAATCTCCTCTGTCTACTAGGAAAACAGTAATTTCCTACTAAGTATTTAAGGTTGAGGTATGATGATATTTACAGCTTACTTTTAAGTGACTTAGCAAAAGAAAAAAATGTGAATGTGTTTATATAGATAAAAACAGAAATAAAGCAAAAATGGTAAAATGCGAACACCTGGAGAATAAAATTTAGTTGAGGTATATTTGAGTATTCATTGAACTATCCTTTCAACTTTCCTGAGGTTTGAAACTTATTACCATAAAGAGATAATTATAAATCACTAAAAATTAAACAGCATAAATTCAAAATATCTCCCCACTGCTGAGCAAGAGGAAAGATCAAAACATACCTGCAGACATCACCATTTTTATATTTCTTCCATCTTTCATACAATTTATTTGCAAGTTCAAAATCCATACTCCAGGTAGACCGATCCAGAGAAAGGCTCCCAGCCCAAGTAAGATTTTCTAAAAGTTAGATCAGATGCAAAGTTTAGACTCACAGAAGTACAACTCAATTATAGTAAATCATGCCAAGGGCTGACTGTGAAGCCTCTCACACTGAGGACTACACAGTGAACAAATGCTTCTTCCCTATGCTGCTTCATTAAAAGCCCCTGTAACTCAATGGCAAATAATGTATCAAATTAAACAAACATGTAAAAAGCAAAACTAAGAATCATGTGAAGGTGGTAACTTAAAAGACACATGGCTCATGAATACAACCTGAAACAAATTAAAATTATACTTGGATATTTTAAGCAGCTTTAAATCTAAAGTGCAAAATTGCTTCCACGTAAATGTTTGTCAGAATCTTTCCAGATATTACATGGAGGGCTAAGGGACAAATAGCATTTCCCAACAGAGGGCTCAGGGGTGATGCTGCACAGGTGCATGTTTATGAGTGGTCTATTGCCTATGGTTCACCTCCCCTCTCTACTCAGTCACTTGGCTTGTCTCTGTTAAGAGCTGACCAAGAGGAAAAGCTGAAAATCTCTCAAAGAAACTCTCCTTAATAAATAAATCAGAATGCAACAATAAAACTAGGAACAGTTTCCATATCAACACCATAACCTTCAGACACTTATACCAATTAGTACCTCGTAACAAAATGTTTATGACGTAAGACTGCAAATGCAATTCCAAATTGCCTTTACCAACTCTAGTCAGCTCTTTTATCCAAGAATCATAATTTTCCAGTTTTTCCTGGTGACAAGGCTGCTATGATGATCAATCAACATATTTTTTTTAATCCCTTACAAAAGCATAAGTTACTAAAGAACAAGAGGGCACTATTTATACAAACATCCTGGATACGTTTGGAGGATTCGTAACTATTCCAGGTCATTCTGTCAGTGGTCATGCTCTCTCAGAATAGGACATGATACAATTACTTTAAGAGAATTCAGTATTCCATCTACAAATGCAAATTTCACTCACTACTTCCCACTCCCCCCAAACTGGAGTTCTACAGAAAGCCTGCGGGTGAGATACTTACCTGCTTTTGATTTTCCCATGAAATAATGCATGTCACAATGTGCTATCACTTCAAAACCCAGACTCCCTTCCTAGATTGAAAAGTAATATATGAATAACTTAAAACACAACACTCAGCATAAAAATCCTAACACACTAAAACACGAAGCAGACATTGGCCTCCACCTCAGTGAATGCCCCTTAACCAGAAACCAAACAACCAGGAAGTAATTCCTTTATCCTTGAATCAGTTCAGAGAAATCAGAGCACCATCAATGCCCATGACAACCATGAGCCCACAAGACACCAAGCTGCCATAAGAAATAAAGATTAGTCTCAAGACATTCTTAGGAGTTTTGTTTTGTGTTTGCTTTTCAACTGTACTCGAATCCTCTGTGAAGCAGTATGCCAATCTATAGTTAACACCTAACTCCTCAGTACATTTAATGCCCCACTTCCTACAGAAGTGGAGAGTATACACTTGCTACTCCACATGCTCCTGAAGCCTGCCTCCTGCTCCCTCCCACAGTCACTCCTCTTCATGCATCTCTCGATTAAAGAAGGCTAATTTCTAAGAAATCTCCCTGGACCAAAAGATGGATAAATGGAATTAACCTTGCATTCTTGTTGAGTTTGATTTTTCTAAGTCCTACTTTCATACTTTAAACATGATGCATTTCTAGCTATGAAACACCAACACTAATAAGTGAGAAAAATCATAAAAGATGGTTTCATGAATGTCTCATATTCAAAAATTAGAACCCAGTGTTATACAGAGTAGCTTGGATCAAAAGGAAGCAATGACTAAATGAAAAGAAATAAACATTAAGAAAAAATGAGACATGTTTAAGATAATCTAAAACATAATTTGCCCAGATTTTAGAAGGCACTGTCTTGTGAACTCTGTTAGGCTTTAGACTTGGCCCACTAAGGAAATTCAAATATTATGAGCAACAAAGAGTCACTTAAGAGAGGTCTAACTAAAGCACTTAACAATCTATAACTTACCTAAAGTCATGGCAAGTATGTATTAAAAACTCAATCATGTTTTCTACAGCAAGTATATACTCCTCCTTGCTTTAAAACTTGGAAATAAGAGCTGAGATGTAGCTCAATGGTAAAGCACTTGCTTAACATATGCTAAGCCCCGAAGTCAAGCCCTAGTACCACAAAAAACTATAAAAATGAAATTTATTAATCTATTTGTAATGCCTTACTTTTAAAAATAATCTCAAATTCCTTCATGAAAAATTTACCCTTTCCAAGTAAAGATTTCCACATCTGAATAAATTTATCATTGAGATTGGCCTGGTAATATCCTTCAATTTCTTAGACAGCCTTAAAGAACATGAATGTAACCCAGTTAATAAAACCCAAGCACCAAGAGTGAATAAAAGGAAACCTAACTGCTAAAACTGTAACATACATATGGTATTGTGAACAATACCTTGGTTGGTGCTGAGAAAATCTGAAGAGGTATTGCAAAAATGGCACCTGTGTTTGTAGTCAAAAAGACATTGGTGAACAGATTTATGGCAATGTCTTTAACAGCAAGTTTCAAAGAAAATATATTCCAACAGCCTGGAGGTAGAAATAAAGGGCCAGTGAAATTCAGAATCTAAAAAGAAAAGAAGCAAGAAAGATTACTTTTCCTAACACTAATTATGACTAAAATCATTATAAAGTATGATGCTAAAGTTCTTCTACACTTTGGAAAATACAATTTTACTTAATTTGTTTCCAGATCAAAGACTAAAATATTTCTCATAAAAATGATAGGTTTCAAAGAATGCTTAATATGCCACTATTTTAAATTTCACAAATGAAATCTTGAAGTTTTTGTAAATGGTACTTTGTAAAAAATGTACTATTTTATCATAAATCAGGCTCTTTTTTTTTTACACTAAATATAATCTTTTTAGTACAAATTATAAAACATTTTTGAATAACGGTAAGAATAAATATTCTCAGAGGATATATGCTGGTCATTTTGAGGTCCTTGAGCAATAACTGAGAGAGAGAGAGAAAGACACAAAGAGAGAAAGACACAAAGAGAGAAAGAGAGAGACACAGACAGACAATTCTGAAAATGTTGCTTTAAAAATTTTAAGTCAAACTTAAAGTTTACAGATATTAATCACTGACCTTAGACAAAGCTTAAGACAGGCAAAAACTTGGAGAAAACTACTATATATACCTTTAAAATGTGCTTGGTCTCCTTGGAAACAAAAACATCCTTTAATACAACACCTCGGTCAAAGTGGTTGAGGAACCATATTGACCATCCCTTGGATGTGTTCTTGTGACTCTCTATGTGAAACTGCACTGCAGAGGCATCCACTCTGAAATACCTATGAGCAGAAGACATGCATGCATCACCCCCATGTGCAGGAGAGCTGTCCACACTTGAAGGGGCCTCAACTGCAAAAGGGAGAGCAGCCTAAAACTTTATGGACGTCAGAAATGACTACACAGCTCTCCCTCCAGATTTTAGTGTATAGGCAGAGCAACTAAAGGCCAAGACCAGGGCAGCTTGTGGAGGCTACCAGGGCAAAACTAGGACCCGAATACAACTCAGAAAATATCACATGAGAACGTCTTCATGATATCTGGCTGCCTGGCCAGGAACCTATCTCATGAACTGAATTTATTTAGTTCACTCTTCCCATTGTGCTAATAAACCTTTCACTGCTTATTAGCAGTGCTAATGCAAGGGGTAGAAAGTCTGAAAAAAAAAAAAAAAAATCTTACCAGTCATATCAGTTACCTGTCTGAAGTATTTCTAGAGGATGAAAAAACCAAGGGTTCAGGGACAGTGGAAACTTACCCCTGAACCACTGGAGAGGAGAGGCATGCTTTTAGTGTTGAAGTATTTTTTGTTTTTTTAACATCTTCTATAATTCCACCATCACATGATGTAACTGTTTTTGGTATAAAGAAATGTAAAGTGTTAATATCTTTTCTTTCATTAAGCCTGAACAAAAATGAGATATATTCACTTTTCTGTCTCCATTAAAATAGTAAATGAAATATATACGTTAACATACTTTCTCTAACATTCCATCAATCTTTTTTCATTACTGGTTTGTCTGGTGTCTGTCCTCCCTTTAAACCACCCCTTATTTCTTATTTTTTTATTTCTTTTTTTTTTTTTGTGGGGGGTGGAGAGTGAAGAGTCGATACTTTGTGGCTCCTCCTTCCTGAAGATTTTCTTCACCAAAAATAAGAGCAAAGTCCTTCCTTAGGCCTGCCAGAGATGACAAAAGTGAAAACTAAAGCTCACTGCATGGAGTAAAGGAAAGCATGGAGGAGTGGGTGCAAAAGGAATAAAATCTAAGTAGCAAAAATGAGCTTAACCATAAACAATGGGAATGGACTCAGAATATGGCTGGTTTATCAAAAGAGTATTTTTAGGCTTTCCTTACTCTTGGTCATAATATTAAATCACTGGTGTTGGATTCTTAACTCTCATGCTGATACACAACTTTTTAAAAAAGTGCACATGGTTCAAAAACAAAATTCAAACACTAACAAAAAAATGTGAAGCTAAAATGTGCCTTTCATTCCTGGTTCCCTAATTATTACAGACAGAGGAAACAACTGTTAGGCACTTTCTTAGGCATCCTTCCAGGTGTTCTATGCATGCACAAGTATGTACACAACATTTTAAAAAGCTAAGGGTAGCATACTGCTTCCATCACATGTCCCTGATTTAGCAGCTGCAGTGTACTCTCCCATATGTGAACTCAACCTAACATTCACCTCTCAGTAGACACTTAGGCTGTTCTCTTGTCACAAGCCTATTTCTGTAGATATGGGCTTTTTGGCTTTTTTTTTTTTTTTTTTTTTTTTT